TTCTCCCAGAGTGTGCACTTGTTTTCTACCTCCCACAAATCTAAACGCATTGGAAACGCACACCTGTTTAGGCGAGGTGCTGGCTAGGGGAATTTCCACCATATTTATTATACCAGTCATTTTCTTTCAAATTAGTGAAGGGATGTGAACAAGTGCACACTTCGGGAGAAAGGAACTATAATTGGGACTCACTCACACTTCATTAGGCAGCCTTTGCTGTAATGAGGTGGTCTGAAACAAAGCATCCAATATGTGCGTCCTCTTTCCTATCCCCCAAGAGCTCTGTGTGATTTTAATACCAGCTCAGTTTGTTGGCATGCTGAGTCATGGGCTATGTCCCAAACGGCACCCTTTTCCCTATGTAGTGCACTATTTTTTACCATGGCCAATAGGGATCTGGTCAAAAGTAGTGTACTATATAGGGAATATGTTGCCATTTGGAAGAGAACCATGGTTATTCCGCTTCAGGGGCTCTGGGTACACTCTTTCGCTCCAATCTCGACTAGCACTCATTTGAGGCAGAGTATTTTTGTAAAACTCTATGGGTTCATCTTCTACTGTTTGAAGTTGAACCAATGCCAGGGGCTCTGTAGACTACTGCTGGTGAGCTCATTAATCAAATCGAATCAAATTTAATTTGTCACATGCACCGTATATAACCTTACCGTGAAATGCTTACTTACAAGCCCTTAACCAACAATGCAGTTTTAAGAAAATAGAGTTAAGAAAATATTTACTAAATAAACTGAAGTAAAAAAAGTAATAAAGTGATACAAGTTGGGCTACTGTATATTTATGACTAGTGTCTTTTCATTACAAACAGGGAAGCAGTAATGAAATAGGCTGCACATGTAGCATAACTGTAGTAGAATCAAGGCAGAGATAATGCAATTAAGATCAACCAGGATAGGCAAAGATAATTCAAATGATCACCATGTCATTATCATCCAAAAACCCAAACTATCATCTGAGAACCTAATGTGCATGACACAAACTATTCCAAATGAATGTGAGCCAATCTCTGTTGTACTGTACTCTCTGACCTCAGGTGACCCCAGGCACCTTTAATAATCATTTGGTCCTAAGATCCTGGAATTGCATTTCACCATGTCTGTGCACACTATCAAGTAAATTAGCCTACATTAGAATCTATGGTGTGGCCGGAGGGATAACCAAGGGAACCAACAGCAGGGGTATATTCATTAGTGCACACCGTAGAAAACTGTTTTGCAACTGAAACAAGGGTTTCTTATTGGACAAATTCAGTTAGTTCCTCCCGTTTTCAGCCCTGTTTGCTTCCCTTCTGTTTGTCTCCTAGAGTAAATACACCCCTGTTGTTCTTTCACTAAACACATACTGTATAAAGCAGGTTTGGGGTCAATTCAGAATTTCAGAATGTAATTAAATTTTTAACAATTAATTTAATGCATTCTTGGAAATGTATTTTTTTGTATATTTAAAACATTGTTAATAATGTTTTTTAAGAAAATGGGTTTTAAAAATGAAATGTTTCAACCTCATACTACATGGTAGTGGTAACCATACAGGATATCCAAATAAACATTATTATGATGATGTGTAGCCATTTGAGTTTCATTGGATTAAATTCTACTTTCTTTAATTCAAATTCAATTCAAATTCTGCTTCCTGTGGGGTGTGGCCAATTAAAATTAAAATTCAAGAATTGAATTGGAATTAAAGAGCAATTTCTGAACTCAATTTAGAATTGACCCCAACACTGGTATAAAGCTCCAAAGGCTCATGTGACTGTTTATGCAAATAGATGCTAAGAGAAACAAACACTACAAACAAATCAACACAGCAAGCCAAAGTCACTGATCTCTCCCTCACACCATCTTATCAAGCAGGTTATTCCTGGCTGACACAAAGATTTGGCACAATAGAGAGAAATAGTAATGGCGTCTTTTTTTAGGCACTAACTCTGCCATTGGTTAGTTGGACAAAGCCTATAGGCAAATGAATGGTGTTTTTGGAGTGTTTTTGGGTAAAAAGCTCAGGAGATCTTATACGTTTTGTTCTATGAGATAATCTTAATCAGCTAACGTCACTTTTTGTGAATTTTGAAGCATTTATGTAATAAAAAAAAGCACATTAAGTACATAAAGGCTTCATAAATCATAAAGTTCATGTTAACTGACTGAGATTATCTCATAGAACAAAACGTATAAGATCTCCTAAACCTGTGTTAACCTCTGACCTTGTTTTCTGCGTTTATCGCAAAAACCCTATTCCTCGCCCATTAGTTTTCCCCATAGGGATGGCTGAACGAACTACATTTTAGTCATTTAGCAGACGCTCTTATCCAGAGCGACTTACAGTTAGTGAATACATATTTTATGTATTTTTTCACACTGGCCCCCCCGTGGGAATCGAACCCACAACCCTGGCGTTGCAAACGCCATGCTCTATCAACTGAGCTACATCCCTGCCAGCCATTCCCTCCCCTACCCTGGACGATGATGGGCCAATTGTGCGCCGCCCATGAGTCTCCCGGTCACGGCCGGCTGCGACAGAGCCTGGAACTAGAGGTAACTAATTTCCGGGTTTTAGGACTACAAGCTGGCGAGCTCTATTAGCCTAGTTCAGTGGTGGTTGGAGGGAGACATGTTGATAACCTGATAGATTAATTATTAATGACTAATTATTACACCCTGAAACTGTGTATAATGTGTTAGAAATGTGTGAGTGTAGGACCAGTAAAGACTACTATTTAGCAATGTGAGTAAGAGTTAGGCCAGACAACAAAGGACAAGGAGAAAGGCTACAGGCAACTGAGAAACCAAGATAACTGAGGAATTTAGGGAGGAGAGCAACTGTTATGAAAACATGGTGCAGAATATTGTGAGAACGGCAATAACTGAGGAATGCAGGGAGTAGGCTATGATAAGAAAGTGTGTATGTATGTGTGTGTGTATGCATGTGTGTGTGTGTGTGTATGTATGTGTGTATGCATGTGAGTATATGTGTGTGTGTGTGAACTGATGGTCAGGAGAGCAGTTTTAGAGTGGAAAACGACAGCCCGCCTACAGAGGGGAGGGATTTTTTTGTATGACGTATGAGTATAAAAGATGGACTCTGAAATTGTGATGGCAGAATTCTCAATGAATAAAGATCTCTGACTATGCAGATCGGGACTCTGTCCGTTACTTAAATCCCAAAAGACTTACAACCTTTTGGGAGCCACACAGAGACACAGAATAGTTTGATAAATAATTCACATAACATAACCAGATTGCGAATCGCATCTCTGCATGTCTGGCAGATATATCAGTGTGGATGTCGGATCACCACCTCAAGCTGAACCTCGGCAAGATGGAGCTGCTCTTCCTCCCGGGGAAGTACTGCCCGCTCCATGATCTCGTCATCACGGTTGACAACTCCATTGTGTCCTCCTCCCAGAGTGCAAAGAACCTTGGCGTGACCCTGGACAACACCCTGTCGTTCTCCGCTAACATCATAGTGGTGACCCGATCCTGCAGGTTCATGCTCTACAACATTCGCAGAGTACGACCCTACCTTACACAGAAAGCGGCACAGGTCCTAATCCAGGCACTTGTCATCTCCCGTCTGGATTACTGCAACTCGCTGTTGGCTGGGCTCCCTGCCAGTGCCATTAAACCCCTACAACTTATCCAGAACGCTGCAGCCCGTCTGGTGTTCAACCTTCCCAAGTTCTCTCATGTCACCCCGCTCCTCTGCACACTCCACTGGCTTCCAGTTGAGGCTTGCATCTACTACAAGACCATGGCGCTTGCCTACGGAACTAATAATAATAATATGCCATTTAGCAGACGCTTTTATCCAAAACAACTTACAGTCATGTGCACATACATTTTTACGTATGGGTGGTCCCGGGGATCGAACCCACTACCCTGGCGTAACGAGCGCCATGCTCTACCAATTGAGCTACAGAGGACCACAAGCTGTGAGGGGAACGGCACCTCCTTACCTTCAGGATCAGACCCTACACCCAAAAGAGGGCACTACGTTCATCCACCTCTGGCCTGCTAGCTCCCCTACCTCTACGGAAGCACAGTTCCCGCTCAGCCCAGTCAAAGCTATTCGCTGCTCTGGCACCCCAATGGTGGAACAAGCTCCCCCACGACGCCAAGACAGCGGAGTCACTGACCACCTTCCAGAGACACTTGAAACCCTACCTCTTTAAGGAATACCTGGAATAGTATAAAGTAATCCTTCTTCCCCCACCCCGCATTTAAAAAAAAATGGAAAAAAAAGGTGGTTGTCCCACTGGCTATCATAAATTGAATGCACCAATTTGGAAGTCGCTCTGGATAAGAGAGTCTGCTGAATGATGTAAATGTAAATGTAATGTTGGATGGGTGGGAGTGGGGGAAGGGAGTCGGAGGTTGGGGGTGAAGACTGAACAGCGGCAGAGGAGCCTCACTTATTTTTCTTCTTCCTTTTTCTCTCTCTTTACATACTAAATGTGTTGTTACTTTTTTGCTCTGTGATGCGAGCTAACTGTTAAAGTATATGAATTTGTGTATTGTGCATGTAGCCCCCACTTTTGTTTTAGGTCACACAAAAAAAGCACGCAATTGTTGTGGACAAAGAGGAGAAACTCTCTCGTTCGTTGTTTCATGAAATGCGTTTATCCTCAGTTTTAACTAATTTATAATATAATTAGAAAAGTAGCTAGCTTTGAATTGGTTTCAAAACAACCTTTCTCAGTAGGGCGCTGCCATCTTGCTTCTTCACATGTTTGTGAGTTCTTTGTTTTGCACAACCCCATTGGTCCAATAATTCAGACAGAAGCTCCTCATTGGCTGTTGATGGAGAGGTCAGAGAATGGGAAGAGTGTTTGTTGGGAATAGTGGCGTATATGTATGGTTAGATGATGGTGCAATTTATTTTTCACCATTCCCCGTTTCCCTTTTTTTGTGACAGAAATGTGCAATTCACACTCCGACCTGTGAAAGGCAGCAATACACAACAAAGCATCTAGTCTGCCGGAAAACCACACGAAGAAGGAGAGGTCAGAGGTAACTGAGAGCACAGAGTAGGAAGCGAATGTTTTGTAAGTTATGTGTCAGGGGCACGTCATGTAACTTATTGATTTTAGTTATCAAGTTAAAGATCTTTAGGGATTTTCTTCCGTGCATATTGTCGGGTAACACTCTCGTAGCTTCATGGTAATTCATTGAACCTATAAGGTATTTCTATGTGCGTGTATGTTGAAAGAATAGCTACATGTCACCTCAACGCTGACATTCATAGTTCTTGTACTAGTGACATGTAGCCCTTACATTAGACAGCGCATGCAGTCATTTATACTTTTCTACACAGTTGACTTGATAGACATATCAGGAGGTGGATAATAACACTCGAAATGGGCTCTGTCAAAGTCACGGCGTGCTGCAGGCAGCTATTTTTGCCCTATGCAAGAGCACTCGCTTTGACTACAAAGATGGCTAGTGGGAACATCATATGCTGCCTCAGAAGAAATCTCAGCTCCTCTTCGAGATTGCGGTCCAGCATGCCAGCTTGGGTGATTGACGAGTATGGCAACAATGGGGTACTGAGGTTCACTGAAGAAGCCACAGCTCCCAGTGTCAACTCTGCAAGTGAGGTTTTAATCCAGGTCCATGCTGCAAGCCTCAACCCCCTCGACATATCCATGAGGGGTAAGCATCTATAAACCTGCAATGTCAATATGCTCTAACCTCATGGTCATATTTCCTTATAAACCAAGATTATGTGACTTCAGTCAATTGTAATGCATTAGCTGTCATGGGAATAATTTTGCATCTACACTACCAGTCAGAAGTTTGGACACACCTACTCAATCAAGGGTTTTTCTTTATTTTTACTATTTTTTACATTGTAGAATAATAGTGAAGACATCAAAACTATGAAATAACACATGGAATCATGTAGTAACCAAAAACGTGTTAAACAAATCAAAATATATTTTCTATTTGACATTCTTCAAATAGCCACCCTTTGCCTTTATGAAAAAAAACGAAAAGAAAAACAAAACACTCACTAACTGTAAGTCGCTCTGGATAAGAGCGTCTGCTAAATGACTAAAATGTAAATGTAAATGACAGCTTTGAACACTCTTGGCATTCTCTCAACCAGCTTCACCTGGAATGCTTTTCCAACAGTCTTGAAGGAGTTCCCACATGTGTTATTTCTTAGTTTTGATGTCTTCACTATTATTCTACAATGTAGAAAATAGTTAAAATAAAGAAAAACCCTTGAATGAGTAGGTGTGTCCAAACGTTTGACTGGTACTGTATATCACAATTTTTACTAATCCGTTATCCATTATTCTGTCTGTCTCTCGCTCTGTCTGTTTATATTTCTCAGGTGGGTATGGGTCAAATCTTCTGAAGCTGAGACGGGACCCGGTGTCTTTGGGTCAGAACGGCAGCGAGTTTCCCATCATACTTGGTCGGGATGTCTCTGGCGTGGTGGTGGATTGTGGGTCGGGAGTGACCCATTTCAAACCAGGAGATGAGGTACGTAGTTGAGCAGCTCTGATGTGGTGTAGTAACAGTCATTAGGGCCCATCGTAGCAAAACGTTTTGCAACGGTAAACGAAAATTGAAAAGTCCAAGTTGTCTCCACGTTTTAGTCGTGTTCCTCCATTTGGTGCTTACTGAACACAACCATGCTGAGTTGGTATGGCATGCACAGTGCCTTCCTGTGACATTCAAAATCACAGCCGTTTTGCTGATCGAATGAAAACAGACCTGGTCATACTTTCTACCTACTGGTAAATTATTTGCATTGTTGGCAGGAATCAAACGGGTGTTTTTTTTTCATGCTCATCACACTCATTATCTGATACCTTGTTTATCAACTAGGATTACTCAGCGATATCCTTAGAATGTATTTTTCCAACCTTAGTGGTTGTGGTTTGGCCGGCCCCCTCAGCGGTGCCTCCACGGGCCTGCAGGTGTGCAGAAACTCGTCTAGTCCAAACTTTCCAGCTGTCTGGTGGTTGCCTGTCTGCTTATTGCAGTTTAATTCGGCATTGTTTTGTGTTTTTTATATGCGTTACGTTGTTATTGTGAATAATAGTGATGTGTGGAAAATATAAAATAAAATGTTTGAAATAGATCATGTATTTTTTATAATTTTTTTCTTCACAGGTGTGGGCTGCCATCCCTCCATGGAAGCAGGGCAGCCTAGCAGAGATGGTGAATCTGACGGAGTATGAGGTCATTCTACTATTACTGTGTATGCTACATGTACATTTTATTAATGCAATGACACAGGGTGGTTCTCAGCTTGTAGAGCATGGCACTTCCAACGGCAGGATAGCGGGTTCGATTCCCGGGACCAACCGTACGTAAAATGTATGCACGCGTCACTTTAAGTCGCTTTGGATAAAAGCGTCTGCTAAATGGCATTTATTGTTATTGTTGTTGTTAATCATTATATCCCAAACAGGTTTTCATTCATTGTGTTATCCCATTATACATGTACACTAACTTAATTGTTTCATTGAAATATATCTTAGTCTGTAAATGCAGACCGAGCTCATGGATGTTTCATTGAAATATATCTTAGTCTGTAAATGCAGACTGCACTCATTGTTGTTTCATTGAAATACAGTGAGGGGAAAAAAGTATTTGATCCCCTGCTGATTTTGTACGTTTGCCCACTGACAAAGACATGATCAGTCTATAATTTTAATGGTAGGTTTATTTGAACAGTGAGAATCAGAATAACAACAAAAAATTCCAGAAAAACGCATGTCAAAAATGTTATAAATTGATTTGCATTTTAATGAGGGAAATAAGTATTTGACCCCTCTGCAAAACATGACTTAGTACTTGGTGGCAAAACCCTTGTTGGCAATCACAGAGGTCACACGTTTCTTGTAGTTGGCCACCAGGTTTGCATACATCTCAGGAGGGATTTTGTCCCACTCCTCTTTGCAGATCTTCTCCAAGTCATTAAGGTTTCCAGCCTGACGTTTGGCAACTCGAACCTTCAGCTCCCTCCACAGATTTTCTATGGGATTAAGGTCTGGAGACTGGCTAGGCCACTCCAGGACCTTAATGTGCTTCTTCTTGAGCCACTCCTTTGTTGCCTTGGCCGTGTTTTGGGTCATTGTCATGCTGGAATACCCATCCATGACCCATTTTCAATGCCCTGGCTGAGGGAAGGAGGTTCTCACCCAAGATTTGACAGTACATGGCGCCGTCCATCGTCCCTTTGATGCGGTGAAGTTGTCCTGTCCCCTTAGCAGAAAAACACCCCCAAAGCATAATGTTTCCACCTCCATGTTTGACGGTGGGGATGGTGTTCTTGGGGTCATAGGCAGCATTCCTCCTCCTCCAAATACGGCGAGTTGAGTTGATGCCAAAGAGCTCGATTTTGGTCTCATCTGACCACAATACTTTCACCCAGTTCTCCTCTGAATCATTCAGAGTTCATTGGCAAACTTCAGACGGGCCTGTATATGTGCTTTCTTGAGCAGGGGGACCTTGCGGGCGCTGCAGTCCTTCACGGCATAGTGTGTTACCAATTGTTTTCTTGGTGACTATGGTCCCAGCTGCCTTGAGATCATTGACAAGATCCTCCCGTGTAGTTCTGGGCTGATTCCTTACCGTTCTCATGATCATTGCAACTCCACGAGGTGAGATCTTGCATGGAGCCCCAGGCCGAGGGAGATCAACAGTTCTTTTGTGTTTCTTCCATTTGCGAATAATCGCACCAACTGTTGTCACCTTCTCACCAAGCTGCTTGGCGATGGTCTTGCAGCCCATTACAGCCTTGTGTAGGTCTACAATCTTGTCCCTGACATCCTTGGAGAGCTCTTTGGTCTTGGCCATGGTGGAGAGTTTGGAATCTGATTGATTGATTGTGTCTGTGGACAGGTGTCTTTTATACAGGTAACAAGCTGAGATTAATCTCAGCTCGTTACCTGTATAAAAGACACCTGGGAGCCAGAAATCTTTCTGATTGAGAGGGGGTCAAATACTTATTTCCCTCATTAAAATGCAAATCAATTTGTAACATTTTTGACATGCGTTTTTCTGGATTTATTTGTTGTTATTCTGTCTCTCACTGTTCAAATAAACCTACCATTAAAATTATAGACTGATCATTTAATTGTCAGTGGCCAAACGTACAAAATCGGCAGGGAATCAAATACTTGTTTCCCTCACTGTATATCTTAGTCTGTAAATGCAGACTGCACTCATTGTTGTTTCATTGAAATATATCTTAGTCTTTGTAAGACAGTCTTGGTGTTCAGTCATCCGTTGAATAGAAAATAACATTGGCTTCTTTCAGATTTTAATGGCTCTGTTATAGAGGAGAACATTAGCTTATTTTAATGGCTCTGTTATAGAGGAGAACATTAGCTTATTTTAATGGCTCTGTTTCCAAACAAATGGAAGTACCAGGGGGCATCGCTTTCTACGAACCCTTGCTTGAACTGAAAAAAAAACATGTAAAACGACGTTGGATGAGGTGCAAGTCTATTATTATGTAATCATATTGCAACAAAGTGTGCATAATTAATTAAGACTCACAGTACAACTGGTTCCATGAGCCAGTGAAAGCAGCAATTAGGCTAGCCAGACAAATGGGTCTCTGTGTACTTGCTGTGGCTGTGAGTTGTGGGCTGCATCATTTGTTTGGCACATCTCAGCATGTTGTCCTGTCCTCGCAGCAACTCCAGTCATTCCACTTTTCCATCGTTGCCTGAAACTAAAGGGAGGGAGAGTAACGGTTAAGGACGGACAGATGTGTGTGAGAGTTTGTGTGTGTGTGCATGTATGTCCTTGTATGAATAAAAAAAGGTGTATTTATACCTCAGGTCTCCCACAAACCAAGGTCGCTGAGTCACATGGAGGCGGTGTCCATCCCCTACGTGGCTGCCACGGCCCTGTCTGCCCTGGTCAACGCGGGCGGCCTGTGCAGAAACAACTGTGCTAACAAACGGCAAGTACACACACATTCATACATGACCAAATACTCCCTCTCCCAGACATCGCTCCTGCCCTGCGCTGTGACAGTAGGGCCCCACCCTGTTCCACTTTGGCCACAAACCCGAGACCTTCTGCACAACAACACTTTGCACTTCCGAAGCAGCATTCTAAACAATCACTATACCAAAAACCATGGTCTTGGTTTGAGCAAGAGTGACGTTACTTTAAGTGTCACGCAGGATGAGTACTCCTGAGTGGCGCAGTGGTCTAAGGCACTGCATCGCAGTGCTAACTGTGCCACTAGAGATCCTGGTTCGAATCCAGGCTCTGTCGCAGCCGGCCGCGACCGGGAGACTCATGGGTGGCGCACAATTGGCCCAGCGTCGTCCAGGGTAGGGGAGGGAATGGCCGGCAGGGATGTAGCTCAGTTGATAGAGTATGGCGTTTGCAATGCCAGGGTTGTGGGTTCGATTCCCACGGGGGGCCAGTATAAAAAAATATGTATTCACTAACTGTAAGTCGCTCTGGATAAGAGCGTTTGCTAAATGACGACAAAAAATGTAAAAATGTAAATGACGTCACTGCTGCATGATGCTCGCTCTGGCGCTCGGCTAACCAGCCAGCGATACTACGTCTGTTATATGTGCTACACTGAAAATGAATGGATCATCTTCTCTCTATGAATCCTGACCTCATGTCTGGTCACACTCTCTCACCCTCTCTCTCTCTCTATCTCGCCCTCTCGCTCTCCCCCGCCCTCTCTCTCTCTCTCCCCTCAGAGTTCTTATCACCGGAGCCTCAGGTGGTGTTGGAACATTCTCCATCCAGGTAAGGACCTTTCAGATATGACCAGCAGCTCATAGCACCAACACTAAACACTCACCTCACACCAGCACTAGTGGTCAATTGACCTTGTGCAATCATAAAGAGTATACACACCAACACACACCCACCCTCCCACCCACACAGAGAGGTGTCTCTCTCACTAAGTGTCTGTTTCCTCCGTAGCTGTTGAAGGCCTGGGGCGCCCACGTGACAGTGACCTGCTCCCACAATGCCGAGGGGCTGGTGAGGGGTCTGGGGGCGGATGAAGTGGTGGACTACACGGCAGGAGATGTGGCCGCGGAGCTGGGACTGCTGGAAAAGTGGGTTTTATTAGTTGGAATAATGTAAAAGTGTGTGTGTGTATTAGGGAATGTTTAAAACACTTTTTGCAACAGAAAGCTACAAATGTGTGTTTCTTACTGGACAAGAACAGGTAGTCCCTCTCTGATTCTGCCTAATGAACAACACCCAGATCCTCATGATGTGTCGACTGAGACACAGGGCCACAACACTTGAAAAGAATGAGTGCCTCAAAGAGATCATGTTTTTAAATAAACCCTATTTTATCCATTGAGATTCTCCTCTAGATCTGATTTGTTAACATATTTCTGAGACGTCATGAGAGTAGCTAGCTACCAAGGTCCAATCTAATGATATACAGTCACGTTTGCACTCGAATACCATTTCCCCCACCGACTCCCTCCCTGGCCAACGTTATAAACAACTTTACCCACCCACCCAGCTGGGCAGGGTTGATTTGGCACACCTGCTCGCTGATTCACTTCCTGGTTTCCATGGCAATGTGGCTCAAGGACGAGAGTGTGGGAGGCTAAATGCCCTCCATTGGGGGAGCTGATCAGGATAAACCTTGTTAACCTTGTCTCAGTGGTCCTCAGTAAGACATACAGAGATCACTAGGAAACACTTCAATCCCTTAGGCTTGGCTAGACGTCTGTCTCGCTCTCTCTTTCTGTCTCGCTCGCTCTCTCTCCTCTGCCCTCTCTCTTACCCTGTTTACACTAGTGAATCGAGCAGAACTCTACTGCGCTGGCATGGTTACACATCCTCCATCTTAGCTGGAACCGTGCTGGAATGAACAAATTGAAAAGGAAGTACCCAAGCCATCACACTGTGTCAAGTTGGCATGATAGTGTGTAGTAGACTTTTTCATTTATAACCAGTGTTCTGTCTCCCTGTGTTCCCCCCTCAGGTTCGACGTGATCCTGGACAATGTGGGTGGGGACTCGGAGCAGTGGGCCCTGGGCATGCTGAAGTCCTGGTCAGGGGCCAAATACGTGACCCTGGTCACCCCCTTCCTGCTTAACATCGACTCCATGGGCCTGCTGGAGGGAGCCGTCCACTCAGGACTCAACCTGCACCAGAAGGCCATCACGGTAAGCTAGCATAACAAGTTGATGCTGGCAGTGTGAACAATGCATACATGTCACGGGTGAGGTCTGAACTCCGGTCTTACGCTCAGGAAACAACGTCTTAACCATTAGACCAAGACAAAGTCGCTGGCAGGGCTACCTCATCACGAGGGCGTGAGTCCGACTCACCTCCGCTACGCTACGCTACACATGGAAAAACGTCCTCAAATATTACTCTCATGTCAAAGTTGAAAAAGCCTTTATTGTAACTTGGCTAAACCAACCGACCACGCCCCTCTGTCTGGGTGGGGTTACAGGGGCATTAAACCTTAATACCCCTTTTCGGACCACTGAGCTGCGCTGGCCTGGTTACACATCAAACATAGTTGCTAGAACCATGCTGGAAAAGACCATGTAGAAAAGATCTGTACCAATGCATTAGAATGGTGTGAGAAATAGATGAGTGAAACCCCCTAGTCTGGCCAGGGTGGGGCAGTTAGCACCATGTGACTGCTTCAACCAACCAGGGCCTGTATTCATATTGTCTCAGAGTAGGATTAGTGGCAGGTTCTGTCCTGACTTGGCTTTATGGAGATCGATAGCATCACATGACTTCAATTAGGGCTGGGTGATATATAGAATTATGTAGATTAATTCACATGTATGTTTTTGCGCGATATGCCTGTATTGCAGAAACTAGGTTTTTTGTATTTTTCGTTTTTCTGAGCGTTTATGTCCGCTTGTTCTCATGTTGTCTTTTTGGTCATCTCGTTCGCTCCTTCTGTAATGTGTTTTTTATCAAGATATATATTTTGAATCGCCCATAAGTTTGAAAAAGATGGCGATGTGAGTTTTAGGCCAGATCTCCCAGCCCTAACTTCAATATGGGTTGTGCTTAATCAGTGGAAATAACCCTGCAGGGTGTCACTATTCTAAACGGTTTTGTGAGGAAGAGAATAGATTCGGTGAGAGGAGGAATCTGCCTGTTTGTGTGTGTTTGTATCGCTCTCTGTGAGTGTGTATGTGTGTGTCTTACATGCAGCTGGGCTGTTTGTGGAGTTAATGTCTAATAGCCTGGGTGTGGTGGAGTTTAACTAAATGGATGGATGGTTTGGAACAGGGTGGAGTTGAACTAAATGGATGGATGGTTTGGAACAGGGTGGAGCTGATGCTTAGGTATTCTTGGTTAACCCAGAACTAAAGTTTTGCATAATTGGTCAGCTGCTCGATTAAGTTCAGGGTCCATAAGAGAAGAGATGAAGAGATGTTAGAATGAGGAGCTCCACCCTCTTTCTTTGCAAGTTACGGGCAGGTCTATGGGCCGAATGTCCCCTTCCGAAATTCTAAAGATACGAACACCTGTGAAATCGTGATTGGTCCAAATAAACTCAAGCACTGGAACTATTGCTGTTTATTGGCTATCAGTGCCATAGTATAAAGACTGATCTATGATACCATTTATGTCTAAGTAGTCTGCCCACGACAGATTACTGCTTAGGGGACTTTGCTATGTGGTCCTCCTGAACAGCACAAGCCTGGTAGGCAAGGACAATGACTCTGGCAGTGAGTTACACTAGTCACTAGACTGTCTGTCTGTCTGTGTGTGAGACATGCACACGGGAGGTCTGCTGAAACTGCAGTTTTTAGGCAGTCAAATCGCTAAATGCGTGTGTGTATGTTTCCCACCAAGCCTGTGGCTCAGGGCCTTATTGTCTGGGTGAGCAGCCGGCTGGCCATACTGCGGGGCTGAAGCATGAGTCACACTGGACAGACAGACAGACAGACAGACTAGGGCTGGAGCTGGACACGTTACCTGAGAGAGCACAGCCCGACGGGGACCTCTAGTGGCCCAACGCAGCCTTACTAGTCTAGAACACAAGTGGCACTTTCATAGCCTGTTCCCAGATTTGCTTGTGCTATCATCATGTCATATCCTTGTCATGACAATGTCAAGGAGTTGACACGATAGCACAGACCTGGGACCAGGCTAGCACATTCACTTATTCCTGGGGACACATAGTATAATGCCATCATGTGTTAACTTAGCATTATTATGTGGCTATGCAGTGTTGTATAGGATGTGTCCCGTGCAGTACATGGTGCTGCCAAACAGTCATTATCAATGTCATTCCACCAGCGTTTGTGCTTGCTGTTCATATTTGGTCCTGTGTCAGTTTTCTATCTGTTTATGGCCTTTGGGGACAGTAAAGATGTATTGAATTGAATTGATCTCAGACAGTATCTTGACCTTCCAATCTCTCCCTCTCAGAACATGTGTAAGGGAGTGTTCTACCGCTGGGGGTTCTATGCTCCAGACGGCCCTGCGCTGGATGAGGTCAGCCAGCTGGTGGATGCCGGAAAGGTACTGCTACTGCATTCTCTAGTCTATAACATCCTACATTTCTTCAGATGGAAATTAGCCAGGTAGATGGGTCTATACAAGCCACAGATTCCAAGCATAGTGGTATATTCAGAGTCTCCCTCTGTCTGTGTCTCTGTGTGTGGGCATTCCCCTGTGTCGGTGCGTGGTTGGCTATGAGTCAGATTTGAACAGTGAATGGATTTCCAACAGTGCTGAGCAGTGCCCCCCCCCCCCCCCCGTCACGGGTGTAATCCATACCCCTTTGTCCCAGGGATTATAGGGACAGCATGGCATTTTGGGGAACGGGCGTGCCGTGCTGGTGGCAGGAATCCATTCCAACACATGCACACAGACATACCCCACACACACCGCCCTGTCAGTATGGAGATCGATTTCTATCAAAATGTTTAAAATATATTAGTAGTGAGTCACAAAAAAAAGATGTTGTGCAAATATAGAATGCAACTTTTAAATAACAATCAGACTGTAAATATGCCTATATAGTTTCACAAACGTGTCATGATCCAAAAGCAAATGAAATTAACAAAAATACAGGTTTTTTTCTGGTTAAAACAGCACATTTTAAAAATATATTTCTTACTTTGCGAACACAACAGTGGTCAAATATGCTTTGGGAATGTAACAACATTTGTGACACCACAGATTACATTTGTGACCTCCTTTTTAAAATGTGTGACTCACTACTTAGTTCTCTATCAAAATATTAAAAATATATATCTCCATATTTATCAGACTCAGCCAGATGGCTGGTCTCTCACTGTGAGGCCAGTAGCCGGTCCATTCATTGTTAATTACAAGAGACGCTGACAAGAATAACATGTTGGGTGGTGGGAGGGGCCACAGGATTGTCTAGCCTCATCACATTTTTAACACCAGCTCCTCTCTCGTTTTTTTGTTGACTCTTGTGCATTCATTTGGAGATTATTTGGGCATGGGTGGTTGGGGGAATGGTAGATAATGAATGAGAGCGTTTGTTGGATTCCCAGATGTAGTCATAGATTAACCTGTTAACGGTTCTCCTGCAGTATGGATTAGTTTGGTTGGTTGAGGTCCATACACACAGCTCGCTGCAAAAACAAGCAAGTCATTTCATTGGTTCTAGTGACACACTTAGTCCTAGGGTATTTCTTTGAGGTGGTTATTCATTGGTGGATTATGTTTTTACTGTCCATGTGTATACAGACACTCACTCGGTGTTGTCATTTCCTAGATCCTTCCAGTGGTGGAGGCCATGTTCCCGTTCTCCCAGGTGCCCCAGGCCTTCCAGAAACTAGAGGGGGGTCATGCCAGGGGAAAGACTGTGGTCACCGTGGCCCAAGAGGAGGAGGGGACCAGAGTGACTGAAGAGGAGGGGGAGGTGGAGACTAGTGACACACCAGAGCAAGTCAGGGAGGAAGTCAGGGAAGCAGTGCCAAAGCGCTAAACTGCTGTGATGTCAACTTTAAGCATTGGGTCATTAAGGCATGCAACTGAAAATGTTTTAAAACGCTTTGCAACGGACAACTTAAATCATTGTTTTCTTTTGGTCCAGTCCAGTTAGTCCCACCCTGTTTCAGTCAGTTTTCTTACATTTGCCTAATGAACACGACCCTGGATATAGGTTGTCCATGTCCATCCTGTAGAACTCTGAACGCTTTCTTGACCGCTACTGCAAAACGGTGTTTGGTATGCATTGTTTGCGTTTTTGCAGATAAACTGCTTGTTTGAGAAAGGCAACATTTATTTATCTTATGGTATATTTCTGTAGTTGTGTGTTGAGAATTCATTACTGAAAAGTAAAATATATACATTTTGATCTGCGCAATTGAGTCATACTTTTATGACATGTTTTGTTAGGCACTTTATTCCAAATATTCTAGATGTTATTCCAAATATTCTAGATAACAAAATATAATCACATCACATTTATTTACATAAGGATATTAATGGCAGACTTGAATAAAACGTCTGAAAAATACATATATTCATCCAAAATGTTACAATGTCAAACTCGTATGTTATCAGATACAACATTAATGGGTAGGTAAAGTATTTCAAGTTTAGTCTTGCGAATCCACTTTCCCTTAATGAAGTAATTTACATTTACATTTTTAGTCATATAGCAGACGCTCTTATCCAGAGCGACTTACTAATGAATGCTATTGTTTTGTCCCTGTTTGTTCGTGAAGAAGTAATGCGATATTATAGATTATCCAGGAAGCTTCATATATTTTCCATGTCGACCTCAGAGGAAAGAGTATACTGTATATGAGCTTCTCTTCCAGCAGCAAATGTTCTGTTCCTGAGGCATCTTGTCCTTGACGCCTGTATGAGGCCCACGCTGCAGCTGCGCCACAGAGCTGTGAGGCCCTTCATCATACTGCACCTCAGAGACTACACCCAGTTCTTCCCTCTCAAAACAAGACCTCAGAGAATCTCCACTGTCCATCTTTGGTTAGGTTTGTTTGGATCAAACGTGTTGAGAATCACCTGGTTTCTGTCATAGTGTTGACCACCTGCAAGGACAGACAAAATTATTTGAGTTGGGCCCTGTTTAAATACAATGTGTCCTAGCTTCCTTGGGGCAATCACTGATCTGCCAAGGTTGGGTCAGTGAAAGCAAAAGTGGAAACGTTGCCTTAACTTATCCAATGACTTACTGATTAGTGATTACCTCAAAGGAGGGGCAAATTTTTGTAAGGCCCTTCCTTGGGTCACTTGTAAGGCCCTTCCTTGGGTCACTTGTAAGGCCCTTCCTTGGGTCACTTGTGCATATGGCGGAGGCTTGAGGGAATGCGCAAATGGAGGGGAGAGGGGAAGGGAGTGTTTTGGGATTTAGCCTGTCTGTCTCTAAACTTGACACAAGCCTATTTGATACTGAATCCAGCTGCAGCCTGTTGTCACGTCTTAGTCCATCCACAAGGTGTCGCTAATTCACAATGTTTCTAGTGAAGTTACCTAATCGCCTATGTAAAACCCCAGAACTGAATGAAGTGAAACCAGTGAACAATAAATTACACTGACACAGACTAGTTCCTGTAGCTCCAAGAGGTAGAAGCATTATTGCAATAGGTTTCTCTTGCCTTCTGATTGGCTGGGTGGGAATGTCATCATATTGCTTCTACCTATCAAATCCTCTCAGATCTACAGGAGTGGCTGGGGAGTTGGGACCGTATTCATTAGTGTAGCCTAGTGAATATGACCCTGGTAACCCATGTCTGTTGTTGTTTCTGCCTCACCTTTGACCTCCAGGACCAGGTCTGGGCTGGCGGTGTAGCGGATAAGGCCATCAGGCGTGATGCTCCAGCAGGAGGGTTGTTTGCCGGGCTCAGGTGAGAGGCCCATACGACTGCCTGCCATGGCCACGCTGCTACACGGAGCCACACAGCAATCCTCCAGCACCTGGAAACACAGAGTAGAAAACCTTAGATTTAAAAACTTTATTATCCTATAAAGAGGAAGTCATTTGTACCGACATTCAATCACACACTTAAAATAAAGAATGGGCCTGCATCAAGCATAAAAACTAGTTGAGCGTTGTAATAAACCATATAAGTGAAGGATAGCGCATGATGCTGTGGGACCGTGGCAGGGAGTACCGAGCTGGAGTCCAAAGGCTGTTATAAACTAACTACTTGAAGTCATGGGTCTGAATTTAAAGTTCATGAAATAATAATCAACATGCTTACTCAAAATTTCTACTCCCAAAAATAGTCGATAATCCATTAACAATGAAATGGATGGCATTCAATTTATGTAAAGTTACAAGGCCACGTTCCGAGTGCTTCTCTGGAAGAATAAACTCTAAGAGCTGTAGGTGCAGCCCACGACCAAAACATAGACTACTAGTTAGATAGAATACTTAACAAATCCCCAAGGAATGTATTACCCAAGAACCAGCAGTACACCAGGATCAGATTTAAATACCCCTGCTCTAGTGCTTGATAAGTCACAGTTTTCCTGGCCTGTCCACCTCCTCTTCTAAACTGGAGCTCTGCTACCCGACCCGAGCCTGACGGGCCCCGACATTATACATCTGGTTAGGGCCGGGTAGGGCCTGTTTTCTCATCAATAACATAATAAGGGCTTGGGTATCACTAAATTGATCACTAACATTTTGAAGCCATTTGCTCGTACTCTGTTGCACAGTACAGTCATATCTGACTAAGATCATAAGGAGTCAGAAGTGCTTCAACCTCGTCAAATATAAAACAGGAGAGATTATTTCAAAAAATTTAGAATGTTCCTTGAGTTTTGTCAGAGTTTAGAGTGACCAAAAGTAGCTAACAGCTAACTGCTCTCTCATGTCTCTGTTCGTTGAGCAGAGCCAGAGATACTTTTAAGGAGATGGGAAACTCCATTGGAATAGTATTAATGCCCATTGTGTACGTTGCCCATGCTACGTCAATGGGCCATACAGTGAATTCTGGGACAAGGATAGCTCTCTTTCAAGGCGTGAATGGGAGTCAGTTGGGCGCTAGGTCAAAAACCCAGCATTATCATGAATTTCGTCAATAAGAAGTACAACATTACAAATCTTTTCAGAGATGTGAGATAATTATCTTGCTATCTGTATAGCTTTGGAATCGTGACATTACGTACTTTTGAGGAAAATAGGCATGTTTCTCGACTCACACCTTGATTTTGTGATGATTAGCTTAGCAACCACGTGACGCAACATGACAACGTCAACGCGATTGGTCGACAGTCTGCTGGGTGGGGCGCTATTCGTTCCTCCATTCATTGCCCAATAGGATTCCTATCTCCTCCTTTCTCTAATATTTCTGGCAGAGCCGTTGCTATGGATACACAGACTCAGAGCCACCATGAGCAGTGTGCATGCAGAGCAAGCTGCCTGCACGCAGGGAGCGATTGAGTGACAGACAGAGAGGAGCAGCTAATGGATTTACTAATGTAGGAAGTTATTTCTGGTTTCGGGCCTTAAATTTGGCAGAACCCATCGGGCCTGGGTAGGGTAGGGCCTGAACGTCACGGGCATGGGCAGGACTTTACTCTAAACACCCTGTTGCCATGACGATGCTACCTTGCAGTGGAGATGTCCGTCCCGATAGAACCAGATCTGTTGGACTCCGCCCATCTCCTCTGTTGCCTGGATACGCATCAGCTTGATATCATCCATCTCCCCGGTGACAGACATTAGAAGGCCCTCCTCCTGGCTCCTCAACCGGAAGTGCACCTGTCGCTGCTCATGTAACACAGACACACACACACACACACACACTTGATTAGTGTTTACACACACACAGGTAGTTCTCAGTTCAACATGCTCTCAATGCATTCCTGTCTGCCATGCAGCGCTTGTGCTCACATAGAATATTATGTAAAGCCCCCTTGATCGGCCCGTTACACAGTATTGCACTATAGAAGCCAACAGTACACCTTTAAAAGGCATTTTCCCTGACTTTTGCAGAGATCACAATAACGGTAAACGCTGCCGATGTTGGCTCAAGTGTAAATTACCTTCAAAAATCTGTTATAGTGTGTAGTTCTATAACACAACTTTTATTGAATCCCGGCCTTAATCTCTGTGCGCCCATATAATCATGTAATCACATTTGAGATGGCTTCTTACCTGGATCAGTGGGCGCAGGGATCCGATTCGCTGCCAGCTACTGAATCTGCGCCAGTCGGGCACCTCGCCGGGCTTCAGCAGAATCTGAGCTCCGCGGTAGTTGATCCCCTCATACAGCACCCACCTGTCAATCAAAGAAGTAACCAAGTGTCAATCAAAAAGTATCAATACACACTTGCAAAGCTTAGTGTCTCACATACATATCAGACATAAATTATTCCTTGAACTTTTCACTCAGTGTCAATCAAAGACAAGTGTCAATCAAAGACAAGGTCAAAACACAGTTACCAAACTAAGTGTCTCACTCACATATCAATTAGTAAGGAGTGATTGCTTTGCCTTTTCACCCACTCAACCCCCATAGAAACTAGAACACATCCACACAGTAACATGCTGTCTATGCTGTTGGGTCTGTGCTGATGTCATCGCTTTATCTGCTCCATTCCTTAGGCCTCATCCCATTTCTCTCCGTGCAAGAAGGTCCCACTCATGAGTTATAGGTCTGACCCTGCTGGGTCCCGTTGTGTTTCTGTGTGTTCCAGAGGTGAGTCCACATCTCCAGTCTGAATGTCACACACCATTGGGAACTTTCCACCTGGCTCCTCACTACCTAATAATATCCCACGATTCCAAGTCCCTTCCCTTCCCTCTTCAAATCAAATCAAATCAAGCTTTATTTATACAGCACATTTCAGACATGGAATGCAACATAATGTGCTTAAAAAAATAAGTATGAAAATAAATATTTACTACACAACAAACATAAGATGATAAAAAAACAAAAGAATAACAATACAAACTGAACGATTAAAAAGCACCCTAAGGAAAAGCAAAGCTAAAAAGGTGTGTTTTAAGATCTCTTTTAATATGTCCACAGTTTGGGATAATAACTCTAATAACTAACGGCTCCAGCTCCATGCCTCTTGGTCCTAGGCTTAGTTCAAAGGCCAGTGCCAGAGGACCTGAGGGACCTAATCACGTAAAGCATGTCTAACATGTATTGGGGTGCAAAATCGTGGGTTGATTTAAATACCAATAGAATAATCTTAAAATTAATTATAAAACTCACAGGCAGCCAGTGCAGAGACCTTAAAACCGGTGTAATGTGTGCTCTCCGTCTGGTCTTGGTCAGTACCCGTGTGGCATCATTCTGTATGTTTTGCAGTTGACCAATTACTTTCTTGGGTAGACCAGACAGGAGAGCATTACAGTAGTCAAGCCTGCATGTAATAAAAACTTGGATGAGTCTCTCTGTATCAGCCTGAGAGAGAAACGGCCGCACCTTGGCAATGTTCCTCAGGTGGTAAAAAACTATTTTGGTCACATTCCTAATGTGTGATTTGAAATTAAGTTCAGAATCAAAAATAACACCTAGGTTTTTTACCTGCTGTTTTATCTTTATTGCCTGTGAATTAAAATGTGCGGCCAGATTCGCTCTCTGTGCTTTGGCTCCAAAAATAAGTACCTCGGTCTTGTCTTGATTTAGCTGGAGGTAGTTGTGAGCCATCCAAGTATTTAAATCACTAATAGAGTCTAATAATTTATCCGTGGAGCTAAAATCCTCTGGTGACACAGAAATTTAAAGTTGTGTATCGTCTGCGTAGCAGTGAAAATCAATGCTGTGCTTTCTGATAATGCTGCCAAGGGGTAACGTATATAAACTAAACAGTACCGGACCCAAAATCAAACCATGTGGAATGCCACATTTTCTCTGAGTTATGTTCACCAAGGGTGACAAAAAACTCTTGACCGGTTAAATAGCTCCTAAACCAATTTAGAACTGGACCGGAGAGGTCAACCCACCTCTCCAGTTTGTCCAGAAGGTCATCATGGTCAACAGTGTCGAATGCAGCACATACAGTGGGGAAAAAAAGTATTTAGTCAGCCACCAATTGTGCAAGTTCTCCCACTTAAAAAGATGAGAGAGGCCTGTAATGTTCATCATAGGTACACGTCAACTATGACAGACAAATTGAGAAAAAAAATCCTGAAAATCACATTGTAGGATTTTTAATGAATTGATTTGCAAATTATGGTGGAAAATAAGTATTTGGTCACCTACAAACAAGCAAGATTTCTGGCTCTCACAGACCTGTAACTTCTTCTTTAAGAGGCTCCTCTGTCCTCCACTCGTTACCTGTATTAATGGCACCTGTTTGAACTTGTTATCAGTATAAAAGACACCTGTCCACAACCTCAAACAGTCATACTCCAAACTCCACTATGGCCAAGCCCAAAGAGCTGTCAAAGGACACCAGAAACAAAATTGTAGACCTGCACCAGGCTGGGAAGACTGAATCTGCAATAGGTAAGCAGCTTGGTTTGAAGAAATCAACTGTGGGAGCAATTATTAGGAAATGGAAGACATACAAGACCACTGATAATCTCCCTCGATCTGGGGCTCCACGCAAGATCTCACCCCGTGGGGTCAAAATGATCACAAGAACGGTGAGCAAAAATCCCAGAACCACACAGGGGGACCTAGTGAATGACCTGCAGAGAGCTGGGACCAAAGTAACAAAGCCTACCATCAGTAACACACTACGCCGCCAGGGACTCAAATCCTGCAGTGCCAGACGTGTCCCCCTGCTTAAGCCAGTACATGTCCAGGCCCGTCTGAAGTTTGCTAGAGGATTGGGAGAATGTCATATGGTCAGATGAAACCAAAATACAGTGAATGCTGAGTTGCATCCAAAGAACACCATACCTACTGTGAAGCATGGGGGTGGAAACATCATGCTTTGGGGCTGTTTTTCTGCAAAGGGACCAGGACGACTGATCCGTGTAAAGCAAAGAATGAATGGGGCCATGTATCGTGAGATTTTGAGTGAAAACCTCCTTCCATCAGCAAGGGCATTGAAGATGAAACGTGGCTGGGTCTTTCAGCATGACAATGATCCCAAACACACCGCCCGGGCAACGAAGGAGTGGCTTCGTAAGAAGCATTTCAAGGTCCTGGAGTGGCCTAGCCAGTCTCCAGATCTCAACCCCATAGAAAATCTTTGGAGGGAGTTGAAAGTCTGTGTTGCCCAGCGACAGCCCCAAAACATCACTGCTCTAGAGGAGATCTGCATGGAGGAATGGGCCAAAATACCAGCAACAGTGGGTGAAAACCTTGTGAAGACTTACAGAAAACGTTTGACCTGTGTCATTGCCAACAAAGGGTATATAACAAAGTATTGAGAAACTTTAGTTATTGACCAAATACTTATTTTCCACCATAATTTGCAAATACATTCATTAAAAATCCTACAATATGATTTTCTGGAAAAAAAATTCTCATTTTGTCTGTCATAGTTGATGTGTACCTATGATGAAAATTACAGGCCCCTCTCATCTTTTGGGAAAACTTGCACAATTGGTGGCTGACTAAATACTTTTTTTCCCCACTGTAAATCCAAGAGTACAAGGACAGAAAGCTGTTTGGCATCTGTGTTGGCTCTAAGATAATTTACCACTTTAACTAAGGCTGTCTCTGTGCTGTGGTGGGCACGGAATAAAGATTGGAATTTTTCTAAAATACAGTTGGCACTTAAAAAATAATTTAGCTGTTTGAAAACCAATTTCTCCAGAATTTTGCTTAAGAATGGAAGGTTAGAGATTGGCTGAAAATAGCTAAGAACTGAAGAATCTAGATTACTTTCTTCAGAAGGGGTTTCACCATAGCAGTTTTTAGTGCAGTGGGGAAAGTGCCTGTGAACAGGGAGTGATTAACAATAGCTTGCACTTCTTCAGATATGCAATTAAAAACACTTTTGAAGAAGGTGGTGGGGATAGGATCGAGAAGGCAGGTAGAAGGCTTAAGTTGTGATATCACTTTCCTGAGCATGTCTGTGTCAACCAGGGAAAATACATCCATAGTGCCTTTGCGTGGTAGGCTAGGGCACATATCATCAAACTTCTCAGCAGGTCTTGCTTGACTGATACCCTGCCTAATGTTGGTTATCTTATCTCTGAAACATGCTGCAAACTCATCAAATTTAGATGTGGAGGAAAGTTCACATAGGTTTGCGGGGGTAGAATTTATCAGGCCATTCGAGCACTCTCGAATTATTCAGATTATTAGTGATCAAGTTCGAAAAATTTGCCGTCTGGCATTTCTAATCGCCTTGTTATACAGTGCATTCGGAAAGTATTCAGACCCCTTGACTTTTTCCACATTTTGTTACATTTCAGCCTTATTTTGAAATGTATTAAACTATATTTTTTCCTCATCAATCTACACACAGTACCCCATAATGACAGAGCAAAAACAGGTTTGTAGAAATGTTTGCAAATGTTTGCAAAAATAATAATAATGTAAATATCACATTTACATACAGCACCAGTCAAAAGTTTGGACACACCTACTCATTCCAGGGTTTTTCTTAATTTTTACTATGCTCTACATTGTAGAATAATAGTGAAGACATCAAAACAATGAAATAACACATATGGAATCATGTAGTAACCAGAAAATCAAATAGCCACCCGTTGCCTTGATGACAGCTTTGCAAACTCTATTTCTATTTAATTTATTTGTTTCCCCACTCATCCAAGGGGCTCTCCGTTTGGATGTGGCCTTTTCAGCTTTACTGGAGCTATGGCATCAACGGTTGCCCTTAACTTGCTATTAAAGTTATCAACTAAATCATCACAAGAGGAAGGCAGAATAGGTGACAGAGTATTGTTCATACACTCAATAAAATCTGTAGTAACTTCAGAGGTAAGATAGCGTTTCTTAATAATGCGTTCAGTATTACCTTGTGCTATGGGCAAAAAGGTCGTAAAAAAAATACACAGTCCCCCATTGCCTGACTGCGCATTCTACACTAGACTAAACTCCTACTTTCTGATGACCGTGTGTTCTACACTAGACTAAACTCCTACTTCCTGCTGACCGTGTGTTCTACACTAGACTAAACTCCTACTTCCTGATGACTGTGTGTTCTACACTAGACTAAACTCCTACTTCCTGCTGACTGTGTGTTCTAGACTAGACTAAAGTCCTACTTCCTGCTGACCGTGTGTTCTACACTAGACTAAACTCCTACTTCCTGCTGACTGTGTGTTCTACACTAGACTAAACTCCTACTTCCTGCTGACTGTGTGTTCTACACTAGACTAAACTCCTACTTCCTGCGTGTTCTAGACTAAAGTCCTACTTCCTGCTGACCGTGTGTTCTACACTAGACTAAACTCCTACTTCCTGCTGACTGTGTGTTCTAGACTAGACTAAAGTCCTACTTCCTGCTGATCGTGTGTTCTACACTAGACTAAACTCCTACTTCCTGCTGACCGTGTGTTCTAGACTAAACTCCTACTTCCTGCTGACTGTGCATTCTACACTAGACTAAACTCCTACTTCCTGTTGACCGTATATTCTACACTAGACTCAACTTTTACTTCCTGCTGACCGTGTGTTCTACACTAGACTAAACTCCTACTTCCTGCTGACTGTGCATTCTACACTAGACTAAACTCCTACTTCCTGCTGACTGTGCATTCTACACCAGACTAAACTCCTACTTCCTGTTGACCGTATATTCTACACTAGACTCAACTTTTACTTCCTGCTGATCGTGTGTTCTACACTAGACTAAACTCCTACTTCCTGCTGACCGTGTGTTCTACACTAGACTAAACTCCTACTTCCTGCTGACCGTGTGTTCTACACTAGACTAAGCTCCTACTTCCTGCTGACCGTGCATTCTACACTAGACTAACTCCTACTCCCTGCTGACTGTGCACCATTTCCATAACTGTGAACTGTGTAATAATAGCTCCAACTGTAATCTACTAATACCCACCCAGAAGACTAGTGTGAAGTGTGCTGTGCTCTGTGTTTACAAAAGGTTGATGAACTGGTCTGGGGATTTTCATGGAAAGCGGCAGTGAAGTAGTACGATGACTCACGAGAATCCTTTTGGCATTGTAAATACAGTGATTAATTTGCTCACAGTGTGTGAACTACTTGTATTAAGCGTCGACACGTGGTCTCTTGGCGTTGAGCTAAAGAAAGACTACACATGTCTGTCAGTGGATAAAGGAGTACACATGGCTGTGTCACACGTCAGTGCCATTTCTAACAGCTCCAAAGAAAAATTATCTTTCCAGCTTGGTGTGTTCCTTTATATAGTATGTACTGTAAGGAAATAAACGTAAGAGCTAGCTTCCTGGGGAAGCCTGAGTATGATTCTCTTAGACAAATGCACTCACCAGCGACACACCCACACAAAGAACACGGAGCTCTGTCTGTGGTTAGGAAGGGCCCCATAACCTTGGCCACAGGCCATTGTGCACAACTTGGGGAGGTGTGTCTGGTGCGCGAGACTAGGAGGCTCATGCATACAAATATATGACCTCAGACAGACAGACAGGTAGGCAGACGACAGACAGAGGCATAAGGACAGACAGGATGTGCTGTATGTACTCACATGCCTCCCTCCACCAGGACAGACTGGACCAGGCTGCAGCCTTTGGCAAGCTGGAGGTTGACCGAGCCGGCGGTCAGAACCACCCTCTTCCCCCGTAGACCTGTCCTCTCAAACAGGGTGACAGAGGGCAGCGAGAACTCCTATGAGGAGGAAGAGAGAGAAAGAGAGAGAGAGAGAGAGAGAGAGAGAGAATGGGAGGGGGATGGAGAGGGAGGGAGGGAGAGGGAGGGAGGGGGATGGAGAGAGAGAGATGGAGAGAGTTGGAGGTTATTTATACCCCTGACAATGGTATGAGAACACCCACTCAAACGTTTTATTGTTTGAATGACTAAACATTTTCATACATTTAAATTTTGTTTTTGACCTTTAACCTTCAAGCTACTTAAACATGTCCTGAGCCAAGCAGCAGATACACCACATATACAAATGTATGTGGACACCCCTTCAAATGAGTGGATAAAAGTATGTGGACACCCCTTCAAATTAGTGGATAAAAGTATGTGGACACCCCTTCAAATGAGTGGATTCAGCTATTTCAGCCACACCCGTTGCTGACATGTATATAAAATCGAGCACACGGCCATGCAATCTCCATAGACAAACATTGGCAGTAGAATTACCTTACTGAAGAGCTCAGTGACTTTCAACGTGGCACTGTCATAGGATGCCACCTTTCCAAAAAGTCAGTTCGTCAAATTTCTGCCCTGCTAGAAGCTGCCCAGGTCGACTGTAAGTGCTGTTATTGTGAAGCGGAAACGTCTAGGAGCAACAACGGCTCAGCCGCGAAGTGGTAGGCCACACAAGCTCGCAGAACGAGACCGCCGAGTGCTGAAGCGCGTAGCGCGTACAAATCGTCTGTCCTCGGTTGCAACGCTCACTACCGAGTTCCAAACTGCCTCTGGAAGTAATATCAGCACAAGAACTGTGCGTTGGAAACTTCATGAAATGGGTTTCCATGGCCGAGCAGCCACACACAAGCCTAGGATCACCATGCGCAATGCCAAGAGTCGGCTGGAGTGGTGTAAAGCTCGCCGCCATTGGACTCTGGAGCAGTGGAAACGCGTTCTCTGGAGTGATGAATCATGCTTCACCATCTGGCAGTCCGACGGACGAATCTGGGTTTGGCGGATGCCAGGAGAACGCTACTTGCCCCAATGCATAGTGCCAACTGTAAAGTCTGGTGGAGGAGGAATAATGGTCTGGGGCTGTTTTTCATGGTTTGGGCTAGGCCCCTTAGTTCCAGTGAAGGGAAATCTTAACGCTACAGCATACAATGACATTCTAGACGATTCTGTGCTTCCAACTTTGTGGCAACAGTTTGGGGAAGGTCCTTCCCTGTTTCATTGCCCCCATGCACAAAGTGAGGTCCATACAGAAATGTGTCGAGATCGGTGTGGAAGAACTTGACTGGCCTGCATAGAGCCCTGACCTCAACCCCATCGAACACCTTTGGGATGAATTGGATTGCCGACTGCGAGCCAGGCCTAATCGCCCAACATCAGTGCCCGACCTCACTAATGCTCTTGTGGCTGAATGGAAGCAAGTCCCAGCAGCAATGTTCCAACATCTAGTGGAAAGCCTTCCCAGAAGAGTGGAGGCTGTTATAGCAGCAAAGAGGGGACCAACTCCATATTAGTGCCCATGATTTTGGAATGATATGTTCGGCGAGCAGGTGACCACATACTTTTGGTCATGTAGTGTATATAGATTGCCACTATTCCTATTGTAACCCTTCACACCAAACCATTATTTTATTGGATGAAGTCACGTGATTATGTGGATCCAATGTATTGGATGAAAAACTGGAAAAATATATTTTTCTTTGTGCCATTGAAGGTTGACATAGACCAGGGATGGGCAACTCTTAGTGGCCCCCCTCTTGACAGCAGAGAGAAATTGTTTTAAAGTTAATTTCTTGCAATTCTACACATTTTGCCATAGGGTGGACAGAAATGTTTACAGTTTTTAATATGATATCTGAGTGAGACTGACTAACAAAATCAATGGGGCCCCCGCGGACAGTAATTCGACCACGATAACAAGTTTAGATAGCTGGCCTCTAAACTAATTTAGCATTCAATGTTAGCGGACATGGGCTAATTGACTGACTATCAGTGACTGACATAACAAGCGTAAAACTGCTGGTGCACAACCACATTTCAAAATTGCACTTTGTGTAGTCTACTATTCTAACTCGCAACATCAGAAAACGTTAACTTTTCATCTTCCAATGCATTCACCTCCAGCAGAGAGATGTGAGTTGCAGGAACAGTGTGGGAATGTTTGGGACCCCGACTGAGTCAGGGATGGGCCGCCAGTTGACATATTTTGCATCTCAAATAGTACCCTATTCCCTGTATAGTGCACTACTATATACCCTATGGCCCTGGTCAAAAGGAGTGCACTATGTAGGGAATAGGGTGCCATTTACAACACAGACAGAGTACTCACAAAGCCAGTGGTCTGCAGGGACAGGACAGAGGAGTTGGGCTCCACACACCCCATCGCCCTCAGATCAGGGTAGTCCTCCTCCTCCAACACATACATCCTCTCAGTGAAGCCCTGGCCCTCGAACGCCAGCCAGCTGGAACACACACAGACACACACACACACACACACACAGACAGACACACACAGACAGACAGACACACACACACACACACACACACACACACACACACACACACACACACACACACACACAGACAGACAGACAGACAGACAGACAGACAGACAGACAGACAGACAGACAGACAGACAGACAGACAGACAGACAGACAGACACACACACAGACACACACACAGACACACACACACACACACACAGACACACACACACACACACACACACATAGAGAAAAATGAGATTATTTTTCTCCATCATCATAATGTTCCAACTGCAAATGTATAAAAATACAAGCATCATCTATAACTGTAGATATGACTGTGGCCACCAGTAACTTCATGTGGCAAAGTATGTAGCTAATGGTACGAGAAAGATACTGTACATGTTACAATCTGCATCTACAGATAATAATAATAATAATAATATGCCATTTAGCAGACGCTTTTATCCAAAGCGACTTACAGTCATGTGTGCATACATTTTTACGCATGGGTGGTCCCGGGGATCGAACCCACTACCCTGGCGTTACAAGCGCCATGCTCTACCAATTGAGCTACAGAGGACCACCAGATCAGCGAAGAACGTTGGAGGAATAACATAAGTGCTGCACTCACCTGCCAGCCAGCACCCTGCAGGAACCCAGGGAGAAGCCGTGTGGCAGGGCAGAAACACTGTCCTCTAGAACGTGGACAGAACCCTGGAACTCCGGCTCCGAGAACAACTGCATCTGAGACACACAACCGATACACTGTCAGATTCTGTCAAATATGTGGCTTTCATGGAGTGGTTTCCAAAAGCTATGACAAAGACATGTAGGTTGGACCTGTTGCTTTTGGTTGACATACCTTAAACTTGGAGGATTTTCCCAGATTATCCTAGAAGAGACCACAAACGAGGGCATTACTGAGAGAACTGAGGAAATGATTTCACAATTCTTGGATCAGTCTATTGGTCATAGATTACTTTGTAATTATCATTGGATGCGTCCCAATTGACACCCTATTCCCTACATAGTGCACTATCACCTTGCCCCCCTTTCAAACGGATGTAACTGATTACAGAATATTTCAATCATATTTCAATTATTTAATATTTTATAATGTTAATAATTTATCCTTGCAATATTAATACATTGTATTATATGAATACTTTATCTTTATAATATTAGTAATTTAATATTTTGTTGATCTTACCAGAATGACGGGCATGACGGATGTGATCTTGGAGCTGAGGGCCCCCCAGTCCTCTGGGCTTCCGTAGAGGCCTTTCTCCAACACATACGCCTTTCCAGAGAACCCTGCCTCCTCGAATGCCACCCACCTAGGAGGGACACACAAAGGCCGTATTCATTAGTGTTTCTTATTGCTCAAGTTCAGATAGTGCCTCGATGTTTCAGTACGAGGGCCAGCATTTTGCGTGAACAGTTGGCAGTGAGCAAATAACATTTCAAACAGAAGTGCCAAAGACTAACTCGTGGTTGCATCACATGCATCCACGAATCACACAGTTGACTAAACTCAGGTTAAGGTTAAAAAAATTCTGGTAACTTTCCAGAATTCCCAGGTTTTCCAGAAATCCCGGCTGGAGGTTTCTCAGAATCAGGATGGAATAAGCAGGAAATGTGTAATCCTCCGGGGGAATTTAGGGAAAGTTACTGTAATTTGGCAACCCTAAACGCATATCATTAGAGAAAGGCAAATTAAACTGAGCTGCACATTATAATGAATTTTACGGTATTTTTTGTGCTCTTCTGATGGATGACACCGAAGACAAAATCTATAACAACTGTGTCACGGATTCAGCCGAGGCTGCTCCTCCTCCTTGCTCGGGCAGGCTTCGGCGTCCATTCCATCCCCCAGCACCTCTGACCCTACTCCTATGGAGCTCGGAGGTGCTGCACTTAGGGAGACCGGAAGGAGGGCCATCTCCTGCACCAACTGTGGCCGCGGAGGACACACTGCTGGTCGGTGCTGGGGAGGGTCTTTACGGAGTCGAGGCGGTAGGCAGAGCACTGGTGGACCGTCTCAGGTGAGTAGGCACCCGACTCACCCAGAGCTCCCTGTTGCGGATATGTGTATTGATATTGTATTTCCAGAGTTTTCCCCTCATTCCCAGCATAAGGCGCTCGTAGATTCAGGCGCAGCTGGGAACTTTATTGATCGTCAGTTTTCCTGTAGTTTAGGGATTCCTTTTGTTCCTGTTGATGTGCCCTTCCCTGTACATGCCTTAGATAGTCGCCCTTTAGGGTCAGGCCTGATTAGGGAGGTCACACCTCCACTCTGGATGAAAACGCAGGGGGGTCATGAGGAGAAAATGTGTCTCTATCTGATTGATTCTCCTGCGTTTCCAGTGCTGTTGGAGCTTCCCTGGTTAACTTCTCATGACCCCACTATTTCATGGCAACAGAGGGCTCTCAAGGGATGGTCAAGTCAGTGCTCGGGGAGGTGTGTAGGTGTTTCCATAGGGGCAACTACGGTGGAAAGTCCAAACCAGGTCTCCACCATGCACATTCCCCCCGAATATGCCGATCTGTCTCTCGACTCAATTACCACCCCATCTACAGGGGGATTGTGCGATAAATCTCCAGGTAGGCGCTGCACTTCCCCGGAGTCACGTGTATCCCCTGTCACAGGAAGAGACGGCGGCTATGGAGACATATGTCTCCGAATCTCTGTGGCAGGGATACATTCGGCTATCCACTTCACCTGTCTCCTCAAGTTTCTTTTTTGTGAAGAATAAGGATGGAGGTTTACGCCCGTGCATTGACTACCGTGGTCTAAATCAGATCACTATCAAGTATAGTTATCCATTAACGCTCATTGCTAGTATGACGGAGTCATTGCACGGGGCGCGCTTCTTCACAAAATTGGATCTCAGGAGCGTGTATAACCTGGTGCGTATCCGGGAGGGGGATGAGTGGAAGACAGCATTCAGTACCACCTCTGGGCACTATGAGTACCTCGTCATGCCATACGGGTTGATGAATGCTCCATCAGTCTTCCAATCCTTTGTTGATGAGATTTTCGGGGACCTGCACGGACAGGGTGTAGTGGTGTATATTGATCACATTCTCATATACTCCGCTACACGGGCCGAGCATGTGTCCCTGGTTCGTCAAGTGCTTGGTCGACTGTTGGAGCATGACCTGTATGTGAAGGTGGAGAAATGTCTGTTCTTCCAAGAGTCCATCTCCTTCCTAGGGCACCGCCTGTCCGCGTCAGGGGTGGAGCTGGAGATTGACCGCATTTCGGCCGTGCGTAATTGGCCGACTCCATCCACGGTGAAGGAGGTGCAGCGATTTTGGGGTTTTGCCAATTACTACCAGAGGTTTATCCGGGGCTTTGGTCAGGTAGCGGCTCCCATTACCTCCTTGCTGAAGGGGGGACCGTTGCGACTGCAGTGGTCAGCTGAGGCGGACAGGGCTTTTGGTCATCTGGAGGACCTGTTTACCTAGGCTCCAGTGCTGGCTCATCCGGATCCCTCCTTAGCATTCCAGGTTGAGGTGGATGCGTCCGAGGCTGGGATAGGAGCTGTACTGTCTCAGCACTCGGGTACGCCACCAAAGCTCCGCCCCTGTGCTTTCTTTTCTAAGAAGCTCAGTCCGGCGGAGCGCTACTATGATGTGGGGGACCGGGAGCTGTTAGTGGTGTGGTTAAGGCCCTGAAAGTGTGGAGGCATTGGCTTGAGGGGGCTAAACACCCTTTTCTCATTTTGACTGACCATCGCAATCTGGAGTACATCCGGGCGGCGAAGAGATTGAACCCTCGCCAGGCACGGTGGGCCATGCTCTTTACTAGTTTTGTGTTTACTCTTACTTACAGACCAGGTTCCCAGAACGCTAAGGCATCCCGACTGTATGACACAGAGGAGAGGTCCATTGAGCCCACTCCCATACTTCCGGCGTCGTGTCTGGTAGCACCGGTGGTGTGGGAGGTTGACGCGGACATCGAGCGGGCGTTACGTACCGAGCCCACTCCCCCCCAGTGTCCAGAGGGTTGTGTGTACGTGCCGCTCGAGGTTCGCGATCGATTGATCTATTGGGCTCACACGTCACCCTCCTCTGGTCATCCTGGCATCGGTCGGACAGTGCACTGTCTTAGTGGGAAGTACTGGTGGCCCACTTTAGCTAAGGACGTGAGGGTTTATGTTTCCTCCTGCTCGGTGTGCGCTCAGTGTAAGGCACCTAGACACCTGCCCAGGGGGAAGTTACAATCCCTCCCCGTTCCACAACGGCCGTGGTCCCATCTTTCGGTGGATTTTGTTATGGACCTTCCCCCCACACAAGGGAACACCACGATTCTGGTCGTTGTGGATCGGTTTTCTAAGTCCTGCCGTCTCATTCCAATTCCACGTCTCCCTACGGCCCTACAAACTGCTGAGGCCCTATTTACACACGTCTTCCGGCACTACGGGGTGCCTGAGGATATTGTATCGGATCTGGGTCCCCAGTTCACCTCAAGGGTCTGGAGGGCGTTCATGGAACGTCTGGGGGTCTCGATCAGCCTGACCTTAGGTTTTCACCCCGAGAGTAATGGGCAGGTGGAGAGAGTTAACCAGGATGTGGGTAGGTTTCTGCGGTCCTATTGCCAGGACCGGCCGGGGGAGTGGTCGGGTTTTATCCCCTGGGCAGAGATGGCCCAAAACTGTCACCGGAGTACTAGCTGCTACCGATCTATGTTTCTGTGTTCTACTTGTCTTGTCTTTATTGTTCACACCTGGTTCCCAGTTCGATTACTTCCCTATTTAACCCTCTGGCTCCCACTGTATGTTGTGCGTGTTTGTTCATGTTTGGTTGTCGTCTGGTGAGCGGGTTTGTTCCTCCCTGCGTGGAGGTTATGTTATTTACGTTACCTACGAGTAAAGTACGTTTTCGATTAGCTCTGTGTCCTGTGCCTGACTTCGTCCTACCGCATCACACTGACATCCTGACAAACTGAATAGATATAATCAAAGTAATTAAAACCAAGGTTAATATTAAATGTTAACATTGACATTTCAGATCAAACATGTAGATAATAATAGATAGTGGTTAATTAGCTCTTACGCTCCTACTCACACTATGAATTAATATTGTCTTTGATTAGAGTGTATCTGATGGCTGTGCCTGTGCCTGTGTGTGTGTATTATATAGCATAGAAAAGACCACATCAGAAGCTGACGAGAGAGAGAGAGAGGGGAGAGAGAGACAGAGAGAGCGAGATAGAGAGGTAGGGGAGAGAGAGAGTGAGAGAGAGAGAGCGATAGGGGGAGAGAGGTAGGGGAGAGAGAGAGAGGTAGGGGGGAGAGAGAGAGTGATAGAGGAGAGAGAGAGAGAGTGATAGGAGAGAGAGATAGGGAGAAAGAGAGGGAAAGGGAGAGAGCGAGATAAGGGAGAGATTGAGAGAGTGCTGGGTTGAGTTAACAGGTTGAATAACAGAGTTTAGTCAGAGCTTTGCATGAGTGAGCAGCACGACAGGGGAGAGGCACGACAAGGGAGAGGCACGACAAGGGAGAAGCACAACAGGGGAGAGGCACGACAGGGGAGAGGCACGACAAGGGAGAAGCACAACAGGGGAGAGGCACGACAGGGGAGAGGCAAGACAGGGGAGAAGCACAACAGGGGAGAGGCACGACAGGGGAGAGGCACGACAAGGGAGAAGCACAACAGGGGAGAGGCACGACAAGGGAGCAGCACGACGGGAGAGGCACGACAGGGGAGAGGCACGACAAGGGAGAAGCACAACAGGGGAGAGGCACGACAAGGGAGAAGCACAACAGGGGAGAGGCACGACAAGGGAGAAGCACAACAGGGGAGAGGCACGACAGGGGAGAGGCACGACAAGGGAGAAGCACGACGGGAGAGGCACGACAGGGGAGAAGGACAACAGGGGAGAGGCACGACAGGGGAGAGGCACGACAAGGGAGAGGCACAACAGGGGAGAAGCACGACGGGAGAGGCACGACAGGGGAGAGGCACGACAAGGGAGAAGCACAATAGGGGAGAGGCACGACAGGGGAGAAGCACGACAAGGGAGAAGCACAACAGGGGAGAGGCACGACAGGTGAGAGGCACGACAGGGGAGAGGCACGACAAGGGAGAAGCACAACAGGGGAGAGGCACGACAAGGGAGAAGCACAACAGGGGAGAGGCACGACAAGGGAGCAGCACGACAAGGGAGAAGCACAACAGGGGAGAGGCACGACAAGGGAGAAGCACAACAGGGGAGAGGCACGATAGGGGAGAGGCACGACAGGGGAGAGGCACGACAAGGGAGAAGCACGACGGGAGAGGCACGACAGGGGAGAGAGACACACGACAGGGGAGGAGCACACAGGGAGAGGCACGACAGGGGAGAGGCACGACAAAGGGAGAGGCACGACAGGGAGAGCACCAGAGGAGGAGAGGCACGACAGGGAGGCACGACAGGAGAACACAGGGAGAGGCACGACAGGGAGAGGCACGCAGGAGAGGCCACAGGGAGAAGCACGACGGGAGAGCAGCCGAGGACAGGGGAGAGGCACGACAAGGGGAGAAGCACAACAGGGGAAGGCACGACAAGGGAGAGCACAAAGGGAGGTGCACAGAGGCACGCACGACAGGGGAGAGGCACGACGGGAGAAGCACAACAGGGAGCGAAGAGCCGACCACGACAGGGGAGAGGCCCGACAAGGAGGCACAACAGGAGAGCACGACAGGGGAGACGGCAACGACAGGCACGAGAGGCACACGGGGAGAGGGAGAGGCACGACAAGGGAGAGCACGATGGGAGAGGCACGACAGGGGAGAAGCACAACAGGGGAGAGGCACGACAGGGGAGAGGCACGACAAGGGAGAAGCACGACGGGAGAGGCACGACATGGGAGAGGCACGACAGGGGAGAAGCACAACAGGGGAGAGGCCACGACAGGGGAGAGGCACGACAAGGGAGAAGCACAACAGGGGAGAGGCACGACAAGGGAGCAGCACGACGGGAGAGGCACGACAGGGGAGAGGCACGACAAGGGAGAAGCACAACAGGGGAGAGGCACGACAAGGGAGAAGCACGACAGGGGAGAGGCACGACAAGGGAGAAGCACGACAGGGGAGAGGCACGACAAGGGAGAGGCACGACAGGGGAGAGGCACGACAAGGGAGAGGCACAACAGGGGAGAGGCACGACAAGGGAGAAGCACGACAGGGGAGAGGCACGACAAGGGAGAAGCACGACAGGGGAGAGGCACGACAGGGGAGAGGCACGACAGGGGAGAGGCACGACAGGGGAGAGGCACGACAGGGGAGAAGCACGACAGGGGAGAAGCACGACAGGGGAGAGGCACGACAGGGGAGAGGCACGACAGGGGAGAGGCACGACAGGGGAGAGGCACGACGGGAGAGGCACGACAGGGGAGAGGCACGACAGGGGAGAGGCACGACAGGGGAGAGGCACGACAGGGGAGAGGCAGCGTAGTACACTATAATAAGGGTTCACAACACAGTAACAGAACCAGAGATGTGCCTCCAAAAGCAAGTGAAAGTGTTCTGCTGCACATAGTGTACCCCACCCTGTTCCCAACTGACAGAGAGACACAGGAAATGAGGCGTGGACTGAACTGAACGTCTCAGAGGAATTTTAGTCCCGTCTGAACGTGCCAACCGGGGAGAGGCAGCCAGCCTACAGTCAGCCCTACAACTACACACCTGGGTCATGTTCATTAGGTTCCAAAAAAACGAAGTGAAACATGTAGGAACAACTTGATCTTGAAATGCTTGTTTTTGTATTCCGTTTTTAAATGTTTTGGTATGGTGTGCCCTAATGAACACGACCCTTATCTGGAGAGAAGGAACTTAAGATAACATACTGTACATGAATGAACACGCCTTAGACCTAGCTCTGCAGGTAACAGGCAGATATTTCAGCCACAAAGTGAGAAACAATTAGCTAACACACACATTAGTAACAGCGATTAAGTCTAGAGGGCTGCACATGCTGTAGGATAGTATGTGTCAAGGTCAAGGCTCACTTATAACTTAAATATCTGAGACTCCGTGATATGACGTTGCCACGGGCAGCACAATAGATCTTGCAGATGAGTGCGATGCCAGAAGACGCACTCACAGAGGAGCGCAGGGTATCTGCGCATGTGCACACTTCAATAGCTACAACATGCGGGACTTTAAACAGCAGAGCATTTTAAATGCGCGCTTCAACGCTCTTAGTTGTTGCGGCAATCGGCCCAATATTGCTGTTTACTTCGTGCTCCTCTAAAGGTAGACTCAGCGAGACGACGTTGAATGCACGTCTACACATAGTGGGTTCATTTCTGCAACAACTTCTCTGCTGTTTTGGCCCTGTAGCTACCACGTTGTAGCAGCGTGAAGCACACGCGTGCACATGTGCATATCAGTGGAGGCTGGTGGGAGAAGCTATTGGAGGACAGGCTCATTGTAATGGCTGGACTGAAATTAATGGAACGGAGTCAAACGTGGTTTCCATGTTTGATGTGTTTTATACCGTTACATTAATTCCATTCCAGCCATTACAATGAGCCTGTCCTCCTATAGCTCCTCCCACCAGCCTCCGCTGGTGCAGATCCTCTGTGTGACTGTGTGAGAGCAAAGTCTTGCATCACGCTCATCTCAATATCCGTGGTGCTGTTCTTTGCAACGTCATCTCGCTGAGTCTACCTTTAACTATACAGGTTCAAATATGCTTTTAGAAGTTGCATTGTAACTTTGCTTCTGTTTATTAGAACACTACATTTCCAGCTTTGTAGTTTTAATTTTGAATTATGTAGTCAGCCAGGCCACAGGACACTGTGATAGTAATGAAACTTAGAAGACACTTGACCTCAGCTACTACAGATCACTGGAAATCAGGACAGTAAATGAGTAGGTAACAGTATGTAAATGTCTCATTACATTCACACAGAATAGCAGAGCACAGCCCTGACTTTCTATAATCAACTAACTGGTCATTTTCCTATAAGACACACAAGACTGGGCAAGAGAGATTTAAAGCCACAATATGTAACATTTCCTGTTGTTCAATGTTCATTTCAATTAATTATCCATGGTTCCATAGGTCTGTATGAATTTGAAAGTGGTTACATTCCCCCAGCCCCATCCCTAAGCCTACCAAACAAAGTGGCAGGGTCAGGCTGTTGAAATGGCAGATTGTAGCTTTAACAGTGCACATCAGAGGTGGAAACAGAGAAAGAGAGATCTCAGACTTACAATCCGCCCATAACGTCGACCGACTGCGTTTTCAGCCCGTAGCCGGTGTCCTCTATATTGATGATAGGTTCTAAGATGTCGATGTTCGTGCCCAGCTCGCCAAATTCTCTCTCACTGAACATCTTGAGGTGTGGTGACATGAAATCCTGTCATGGGGAAAGGAAACAAAGAATATCCTTGGTCGTGCCCATAGAAGTAGAACTACTAGAATGTACAAAACCCCTCAGCCCACAGCAATTTGAGTGGTACAATCATGAGTACACTCAATATGACCGCTGGTCCATCAATCATAGAACATTGACTTGAATGGGAATGTCTGTTTTAGTACTGTATAACTAATTGTATGGTCATGGCATACCATAAGAAACAATATACTTAACCCTAATTGCTCCTGTAAGTCGCTCTGGATAAGAGCGTCTGCTAAATGTAATAAATAAATAAATAAAAATAAATATCCTATCATGACTTACCTTTACACCATCGGTTACCATACCAAACAACTTCAAACATCAGAGGTGCCCAACCCTCCTCATTGGCGAGAGCTACCCTGCATGCTTTTGTTCCAACCCTAATCTAGCACACCTGATTCTATTGATTACCTGAATCAGGTGTGTTTGTATAGGGCTACAATACACTCTTAGAAGAAAAAGGTGCCATCTAGAACCTAAAATTGTCTTTGGCTGTGCCCATAGGAGAACCCTTTGAAGAACCCTTTTTGGTTCCAGGTATAACCCTTTTGGTTCCTGGTAGAACCCTTTTGGGTTCCTTAAAGAACCCTTTCCACAGAGGGTTCTACATGGAATCCAAAAGGGTTCTACCTAGAACCAAAATGGGTTCTCCTACGGGGACAGCCGAAGAACCCTTTTGGAAAGAGTGTAGAGCACAGACCTCTCCAAGAGGAGGGTTGATTCTCATTTATAGCAGGGGTTCATCCATACTGTAATTCATAATTTCATACCAAATCGTACACCATTCAGTTCTAGGTCATAGCATGATACCTACAGCCAGTACAGGTCGTATAGACAGTAGCTGATCAGTCATTCCTCCCCAGTCCCTCCAGTCCAGGTACTCTCCTTCCTCCAGGACATGCTGGTGACCTTCGAACCCTAGTTGGTCATACCCCACCCAGCTGGGACAGCAAATAAAAGGGAATTAGACATTGGCTACATTGTACACACTGTACAGTCTATTACTTAATATGTATGTTGCATGTTACTATAACACAGTGATCCTAAACTCATGCTTCTGGAGAGCTGCAGTACTGCAGGTTTTTGTTCCAGCTCAGCAGTGAGACAACTGATTCACGTTATCAAGGTGTTGAAGATCAGATGATAAGTTGATTCAGGTGTGATGGTTCAAACCTGGGACAATAGTCTCCAGTACTGTGGCTCTCCAGGAGCAGGATTGCGGATCACTGACAGTAACATTTTGTACCGCTGCCTATCACAACACGACACCTTGATTGTGTATTGTGTTTCTTAATACCCAGTGATAAAGTATTCTCTCCCACATAAATACATATGAACGTGTTGAGAGCTATATGAACTTACAGTCCTCTGAGGATCTTCACAGAGCCCACTGACTTCAGTCTGTTTGAATCCAGGTTTGATGCCTCTCCATCTCCTTCTGCTCCAGCTCCAAAACAGAACACGTCCCCATCCATCTCCAGACAGGACCCCTCAAAGCCAGGCCGCTCATACACCACAGCCTGAGGAGACCAAGGTCAAAGGTAGGAGGGAGCAGTTCAGAGGGTGTTTGACCCCTGATTGACCCCAAGACCCGACAGTAATGATTTGTGATTGGTTGTTGTTTTTCAGTGTGTTTCCATAGTCAGACTTACGATACGTTAGCCGACAACATGCTAAAATAGTACGTGAATTTATAAACCAGACAGGTTTATATAGCATTTGTTTTCTTTTAAATGCTTTAAACATTTGATTAAGCCTGTCTGGGGTGCCAGAAGGGTTTGCCCTTTTGGGACTATTCTATTGGCTCCATTGTGCCAGGCAAACTCAATCAAGCGCAGCTAAAGTATTTGAAAGAAACAAATACTATTTGAACCCAGGACAACTTGAGGGCGACAGTGAAGCAGAAAGTAATGGCGTACCTTGACTTCATTAGGATTCTCCACCTTGAAGGCACCCTGCAACAAACAGAGAGAGAATCAATCACAACAGCACTATCTTCCACTAATTAAAAACGCACACAGCGTCGATGTGGGAGTCAGCAGTATGCAAATTCGGCCATTTACGCACATAGCATAATGAACTGCGACGCTGCTGGAGACAGATACATTTACATTTTAGTCATTTAGCAGATGCTCTTATCCAGAGCGACTTAGAGTTAGTGAGTGCATACATTATTTTTTAATATATATATTTTTTCATACTGGCCCCCCGTGGGAATCGAACCCACAACCCTGGCGTTGCAAACGCCATGCTCTATCAACTGAGCTACATCCCTGCCGGCCATTCCCTCCCCTACCCTGGGCCAATTGTGCGCCGCCCCATGGGTCTCCCGGTCGTGGCCGGCTACGACAGAGCCTAGATTTGAACCAGGATCTCTAGTGGCACAGCTAGCACTGCGATGCAGTGCCGTAGACCACTGCGCCACTCAGGAGACTGATATAGAGAGATAGAGAGAGATAGAGAGAGAAGAAGAGATGGTCAGAGACTGGACATGCCTCATTCAGATTGAATGAGTGCATTCTGTCTCTACGTCTGAGTAATTTGAGTAATTTGGTACGACAGTGAACTTAATAACCTTCATGTAGAGTGGTATAGGACATAGAAAGACAAGGCAAAATATCATTAGAACAATTGACAATTGCTCACTAGTCACAACCAAATTTAGCATGCTTGTGTTGGCAAACAGCTTCACTCACTAGTCAGTCACGACTATTTGCACATTAATCTTATCACATGTCCATAAAATACATGGATTACAACTACATGTCCATAAAATACACATTCATAGAGATATATACTGTAGCACTATACAAATTTCCACAATTCAATAAAAGCACAAATGTGGTTAAACGAGAAGATGATTCCAAAAAGAAAGATACACTTTTATAGTTTGGTTCATCCTTTGCATGTACTGTTCTTCTCTCTTGGGACAGATTTGCTAAACATTGGCACCTGTATTTTCAAAAGGTAATTAAACATTGAAAACAGAACAAAAAGGTAAAACATAAAGATAAGCCTTGTTTGTTGTTCATTGTCCTTCCTGCTTCCATGTATTTTATGGACATGTAGTTTCATCCATGTGTTTTATGGACTTGTAGTTTAATCCATGTATTTCATGTGCAGTACAAGTGTCGGATCTTAATTTGAGCCAGTTTGCTACAGCAGGAAAATAATCCTGCAGTAAAAGGTAATGTGAATTATGTGGATTATAATTCATGGACATATTCTGTAGGGGTTAATACATTTTTCGTTAGGGCAAATCAAATTACAAACTTTAGAAGCCTTTTGAAACCTTGAATGCACTACAAGTTTGCATTTCCTGCTGTGTAGGAACATTCTCGGCAACAAAAGAGTGATCAAATTAAGATCCTACATCTGTATACAGTTATTGTGAGATGCTGCAGCACCCACCATTTTGAGGGGTCTGAGGGATCCGATGAAGGGTGTGTGGAACCCCCAGGCCTCGGGACAGGGGTACTCCCCCTTCTCCAACACCGCCAGGAGGCCCTGGAACCCTGGGTCACTGAACACCAACCACCTGTGTTGGGGAGGAACAGGAATCCCTAAACATTATGTACACACCAATGGATCAGTCATCTGTTCTTCTAACCAGGGTACCTCCCATTCCAATTTAGTAAATTCAGCAGCGGGCTAATCCAGACTTGAGATCAGCGCGCTTACATCAATAAATGATTTCCATGAATGTCCAAGTTGTCTTAACTTTGAATCGGTCCGCAGGTGAACTGAGATTAGATTCAAATAATGGCCAATTTTGAAATCATGGATTCAATTTCCATTCATTGATTAAACTGAAATGTTACGTTATTGATGCCAATCCTGGTTCATATTATGCCTGTGTATCACACATAAACCATCAGTGATAGATTTACAGTCAAACTCTATTCTCTATCCAATGCTGTGACAGCTTATTTTACCCCAGTACTGTACAATGCTAGTTTACCCTGAGTGAGGCTAAGGAAAGAAAGACTGTACAGTACTCAGACATTCCATGTATGAGTCAGAAAAAGAACCGCAGGGAGAGTTGCTAAGGAAACACAGTCCAAAGTATTCAGGGTACAACATTGGTGTTGAGTTGATTTTCTAGCCTGGTTCAACTACACTGAACACTGCACTCATTATTCAGTCTGGTGCCATGATGTACTGTATCATTGGTCTGGTGTAACCAGGCTAGATGATCACTTCTTTGACAGCCACAAGTAATCAACTCTAATTTTAACTGCCTCCAGTAAGAATTTCCGGGATTGTCGGGCACAGAAAAGGGGACTTTTTGATCCCACGTGTCAAAGTAAACCAAGTCTTTAGTAGCAATTTGACGACGAAGAGGGAAATGGTCTATTGTGGTGTACTTCCGCTAAGAGCCAGGGCACACAATGTTCTGAAACGTGCCTCTCACGTGCGAAAACAAACCTTTAAAATCTTTGATTCTCACTTTCTTTCCTTTTTTCTCTCTCTATCTCTGTCTTTCTCTCTCCACTTTTACGAGTTTCTTCCCTCACCTCTCCCTCCTCTTTCTCTAGCTCTGTATGTCCCCCACCTTTACTAGTCTCCCACCCCACCCCACCTCTCTCTCTCTCTCTCGCTCTACCTCCGACAGTAATCATTATCTGTCAGTGCTCTCTCTGTCTCACTCTCTCTATGTCTCTCTCTCCTCAGCCTGCAATTGAATTCCATTAAAACATTATTTATCCCTGAGGGGCAATCACTTTGAGCATGTGAATCTGCAACAACAACACCATGACAGCATACCACATGCAAACCACATTAAGAACAACGCCTCATCCAAAAACAACAACATCAACATGCCCATCATTATTTAATCCAGTGTTGCCCAATCATGGTCCTGGGGACAGAAAGGGGTGCACATTTTGGTTTTTGCCTAAGCACAAACACACATGATTCAACTAATCAACTTACCATTATGCCTTTGATTAGAATCATGTGTGTTAGTGCTGGGGAAAAAACAGAAATGTTTTATCTTGACTTTAGGTCCCCAGGACCAGGTTTGGGAAACACGGATTTAATCATTTCCTGACTCTCCTTCAATGCAAATTCTTTGAAATACACACAAAAAAAAGCTTATCTGATCTGGCAGGCTTAGACAAATTATATTTGAACTCAAAGTCGGGTTCATTAGGGCACACTGTGGAACGGAAAACAAAAATCAGCATTTCTATTTGGACACGTCCAGGTAGTCCCTCCTTGGTTCAATCTGTTTTCTTCCCTTCAGTGCTTAATGAACAAGACCCAGGTTTGGTTCAGTAGCAGCCAGAAGCCATGTAATAATCAACATAGAGAATTGGGATTGCCTGGTCGCTCAACACTCTGAAAGGTCATTATCCCCAACTCTGAAACAGTCATTTCATTCTCTACAATAGCAAGAGTTGTATTGCACTGCAGAATGTAATGCAGATCTCGCACTGCCTACCCAGATAGCAATCTCATTAGAAGTACCATGAGGAGAATGCCTTGTTGCTGAGGAGGTTTACAACAAGAGCCAAGCAGCACACTAAACAAACTAAAGAGGTACCATAGACATCTAGAGGTACCGTTCAGGAGGACCACAGACACTGACAACCCACAGTGGATCAAAAAGGCACCATAGACATTTAGATGTAGCATTTTAGGAAGAGCATAGATGCACCTACACCCAAGAACAGGGGTTCCAAAAGTTGAACGTGCACCAGGGGGGGGGGGGGCAGGAACGAGTTTGGAATACCCTGCCCAAGAGTGGACTGAAGAGGCACCATGTAAATAGAACAACCGTAGATACACTTACACCCCAGAGTGGACTTTGATGGAAGCTGTGTTCTCTGGGATACCGAAGGAGCCGATCTCTACTGTGTCGTCATGGTACGGTGCTAGCCTGCCGTGACCCTCTGGCTCAGTGAACAAGTCAATATGGGGCATGCTGTAGTCCTACAGAGGGAAAAACAGACCCAGGACCAGTCACTATACTGTGGAGGGAGAATTATGATTGATTGCATTGTGGTAACACTTTATTTAAAGCTGACAGATATAATGCTTTATAACTTGTTATAAGCATTTATACCACGGCATTGTTGAATACTCGTTTCTGATTACCTTTAAAGGGCATTCTAGAGCGTACATTATTTATCTTTATACAATGGGTCAGTCTATTCCTGGATGCTGATTGGTTAAAACCACATTCCAGCCGGTGCCTATTTACTCTTCCATCTCACTGCGCAATCCACTGTCTCATCAGCCCAGCCAGGCAATTTATAAACTTGATCCCCACTATAAAAAGCATATAGACATTATCTCCCATTCCTTTTAGACTGGCATTTGGTTTTCAACAGCGGAGATTTGTATAAACCTTGCTGTCTGTCTCTCTGACATTTGCAACATTGTTTCAATATTGAAATTTGATTTCCAGCTGTCCCATAGTAATGAAGGGAAAAGTTTGGTTTTCCATCAAAATAATAATTATTGCCAGTTTAAGAATATGTCGCAAGAGAAAAGATAAATCTCCCTTATCAAACTCTCCAGATCATTTTCCTTCAATGGATGTCGATTAAACTTGTTTTGACTGCTATGATTAACTGCTATGGGTTAATAATTGCAAATCAACTTTGCCATGGTTTGCTGAGCTAGATGTAGGTAGCCTATATATAGCCCCTGATAGGTCAACATCTAATTTCAGGGAAAAGTCCACAATGAAACTGACATTAAATCTGGAGAATGATACATTTGCGATAGAGCTGTGACCATGATCACAATTGATGACTTCCAATGTAATTAACTAAACATGGCCATTAATCATTGCATAATAACACAAGGCTACAACAACAAACTGAGTTATAGGCTATTTATTAAATCCGTTTGCCAGCTCCAGGTAGGCTACACAAGTGGCACAAATTGACTTGCAATGACACCAGTGATATCGTAATTTCAACATATTTATTGTATCAAATGGTAGGCTACAGTAGCCTACAATGGCATAGACATTAATAGCCTACTTGATGGCCAACAGACGCAAATATACCCTATCATTCTCCACATGTAACGTCATTTTCACTGTGGACTTTTTCCCATAACAGAAGCATGCCAGGGAGTTCCATACCTTCCATTTAAAATGTCCACTCGCGCAACGCTCCAGACCCTAGAACTGAGCATGAACAAACCCTTTGCTTATCCATAAGAAAAGTCGACATTAGAATGAAATTTACTTTAAAACACCTCTGAGTGAATTTATCTAAAGAGCTCTAGTGCGCCTAAAGTTGTTTTCCAATGCTTTGTCGCAGTTATGTCAGTTCTAGCGCGTTAATATGTTTTATGGAAAAAGGGTGTCTCCATAATGACCAATCTAAATAGCCTACCTACAACTGGTAAAAAGTTGTCTCCGTGACTCAGCTGCCTCTGATACAGCATTCTCTCAACCAGTGCTCTCAATGCACACACACCCTTCCGGCCCTTAGTAACATCCTGCTCAATGCAGTGAAATATACTGTATATTTTTTTGAGATAAATACCATGGCGGCCGCGGTGCAATTAGAAGTCGCCCAAAAACCCGCCACCCGAGACCAATACATTTTCACCCGAGACCAATACATTTTCACCCGCGACATCGTTTTCATAGTAGCCCAATTTTCGGGAAACCAGCGAACATGGCAGCTCTTCCCCTCGTTGATGATCCCTTACGTATTATTAGCCTTTATTGTGGCTTACTATTAGGCTCGTGATATGTTACAGTATGTCTCTCTATGTAGCAACATTTATAACAGAGTGGACACTCACCCATACAGCATGTCGGATGGAGCCGATGACCATTGGTGGGTCGACATTGGGGTGTGAACCTGGTGGCCCTGCATCTGCCCAGACATTGGTCAGCTCAATAGGCCCCTCCTCTAGGGCAATGGAACGCCCCTCGAATCCAGGCCTCTCATAAAGCACCCAGCTGCAAAGACAAATTGGAGCCGGTAAAAAAACACATAAAATATTTTTCATAGAAATAGACTAATTGGAACAATATGATTAATAAATTATCTCTGTCTCTTAATTGATTTGTTATTTTCCATGTATTTGATTGCTGTTGTATTGACTCTGGATGATCTGTATTAAACATATTTGTGTGAGCGGGGGAGATGCTGACGGAGGCATTCCGCTGGAGAGGGGAAACCGGAGTTAACCAGGTATTCCATGTCTAACATCCATGTTTGGTAATGAAGTGATCGACTGTTAGTCTATAATTGCGTCTGTTATTAAATGTAATTGCTGATGATCGTTGTACCTCTTAAAATGACCTTTGACCTGTTTAAGTGCTGATGTGATACTTACTTGTAATCCGTACGGCTAGTAGCCATTGTTGACAGAACAGTTGTTCCTGATAGTGGCTATGTAGACCTCTTTTATTCTACCCACAGAAATGCATACAAGGCCCTCCCTCGTCCGATAACATTGAGGAGTTTACCACAACAGCCACGGGCTTCATCAATAAGTGCATAGACAATGTCGTCCCTACAGTGACTATAAGAATGTATCCTAACCAGTGCTTGATTAGTAAATTTGGAGGTGCCGGAACAAAAAGCGAGCCCGAGAGGGAGGTGACCCGGGTTGCTCTGAGGTACCTGAACGCATGAAAAAAAATATCCTTTATAGTAAAGCATGGCATGCATTATCATGCTTTTGCATACTGGCATAGATGAGTAGAGTAGAGGAGCTTGCAGAAGTTGCACACAAGGAAACAAATATGTAGCCTCTTGGTTCGGAAAAAATTTGACCCTTATCAATGCATTTCATGCAATTCTACATCATTTTAGATGACTGGAGACTTTAGCATAATATTTTTTAATACCTCACAAATGATCGAAATGACAGGCTACTTTGACACTGACAAACTGAGAATCTGAGATCAATAAAAACGATCTTGACTTCAATCCATCAATAGCTTAGGTCTAGGTGTTTGTAAATGGATGGAGGGAAGGAAGGAGGAAATTATAGTCCTAAAAAAGCTTTCCAGTTTCACTGACTCACCCAATGATCCTCAGCTCACTCCCCCGCGATGGCCGATACGCTCGTACCAAAAGCTTATCTCTCTCTTATTTTACTTGGTAAAACAATGCTGTTCGCTCAATAGGCCTATTTGGAAGCTGATAACTTGGTAGCCTACAGACAGATTAGTCTTCTATTTTCAGCAGGATCCATTTGCTTTCCAACCTGTATTTTCCCACGATTGTATTTGAACTATTGTGAAAGGCCTGTTTTGGCTGCATGCTGTTCACTGACAGATTTGCCACGTGTTCCTGACTGTAGGCATGTCTCGTGATTGGGCTACACACAATCCACAGCTAGGCAATTTTTTAAAATAAACTATTGATAATCTGTGGCTAAATTATAGGCCTACTAGCAGTAATTCTATAACTTTGGCAAATGTATTTACATTTATCAGGGGTGCTGCGGCACCTCCAGAATCCTTCGCGCAGCTATGATTCTATATGGAAATAAATGATGAAGTGCAACACTGGAGAGATAAGAGATGGAGGATCATGTCTATCAGAGCAGAGAGAGGGAGAAAGATCATATAAAGTGAATCTCATTCTAGTTCTGTGCGAGATACAGGCGCATTTCTTTTACTCACCACAGCAATGGCCACGCGTTTGTCTATATAGGCTACAATGAATCAATTATCAGGCACGTTTTCACATTACGTTTTTTAGGGGGCAGCCAGGAGAATTACAGAGGATTCAACTTGAATTAGCCAAACTCTGATTGCTTTTATTATAATTTTTACATTGCAAACAGTGCAATTATTAGCTGGATCCTGGCAAATGGGTTCCGGAGTGAAACAGTCCAATACTGAGAGGTGCCGGATCCAGTTCCGGCAGGATCCGGCTCAAATTAAGCACTAATCCTAACCAGAAACAATGGATTACAGGCAATATCCGTGCTGGGCTAAATGCTAGACCTACTGCTTACAATTAATGGAACATGGACATGGACGCATACAAGAAAGTCCGCTACAACCTCCGGCGAGACATCAAATGTGCAAAAGGACAATATAGGAGGACGGTGGAATCCTATTACACCGGCTATGACGCTTCTTGTATGTGGCAGGGCTTGCAGACGATAACGGATTACAAAGGGAAACCCAGCCATGAGCTGCCCAGTGACGCAGAAGTCCCAAACGTGCTAAATGCCTTTTACGCTCGCTTCGAGGAATATAATACTGTGCCTTGCGTGAAAGCCCCTACTTTTCCGGATGACTGTGTGATCTCACTCTGCGTGGCCATGTGAGCAAAACGTTTAAACAGGTTAATAATCACAAGGCCAGACGGAATACCAGGGCGTGTTCTCAAAGCATGACCAGCTGGCAGGTGTCTGACCATTGTCCCTGTTCCCAAGAGCTCCAAGGTAACCTGCCCACATGACTACCGCCCTGTTGCACTCACATCTGTAATTATGAAGTGGTTTGAAAGGCTGGTCATGATACACTTCAACACCATCATCCCAGACATCCTAGACCCACTCCAATTCGCATACCGCCCCAACAGATCCAGAGATGACGCAATCTATATTGCACTTTACACATTGCTCTCTCCCAACTGGACAAGAGGGGAAATAACTGTGAGAATGCTGTTCATAGACTACAGCTCAGCATTCAACACCATAGTTCCCTCCTGTACTCCCTGTTCACCCAAAGACTGTGTGGCCGCACATGTCTCCAACACCATCAGGTTTGCTGACGACACGACGGTGATAGGCCTGATCACCGACTGCGATGAGTCAGCCTACAGGGAGGAGGTCAAAGACGTAGAAGTGTGATGCCAACACAACAACTTCTCCCTCAACATCAGTAAGACCAAGGAGCAGATCGTGGACTATAGGAGAAAGAGGGGAGAGCACGCCCCCATCCACATCGACAGGGCTGTTGTGAAGCAGGTCGAGAGCTTTAAGTTCCTTGGCTTCCACATCACTAAGGACTTAACATGGTCCACATACACGCGCACAGTCGTGAAGAGGACACGGCAGAGCCTCTTCCCCCTCAGGAGGCTGAAAATATTTGGCATGGGCCCTCAGATCCTCAAAAACGTATAGAGCTGCACCATCGAGAGCATCTTGACTGGCTGCATCACCGCTTGGTATGGCAACTGCACCGCCCTTGACCGCAAAGCGCTACAAAGGGTGGTGCGGACAGCCCAGTACATCACTGGGCCGAGCTCCCTGCCATCCAGGAACTCTATATCAGGCGGTGTCAGAGGAAGGCCCGAAAAATTGCCAAAGACTCAGCCACCCAAGCCATAGACTGTTCACTCTGCTAACGTCCAGCAAACGGTATCAGAACATAAATAGCCAGACTGATAAATAGTCAATTAATGGTACCCGAACTATCTGCACTGACAAGCGGTACCGGAGTGCCAAGTCTAGGTCCAAAAGGCTCCTTAACAGCTTCTACCCCCAAGCCATAAGACTGCTGAACAATTAATCAAATGGCCACCCGGGCTATTTACTTTGTTTTTACACTGCTGCTACTTCCTGTTTTTTATCTATGCATAGTCACTTTACCCCTACCTACATGTACAAATTACCTTGACTAACCTGTACCCCCGTACATTGATTCGGTACCGGTACCCCCTGTATATAGCCTCGTTATTGTTATTTTATTGTGTGATTTTTTTTTAATTTTTTTTTACTTTAGTTTATTTAGTAAATATTTTCTTAACTCTATTTCTTGAACTGTATTGTTGGTTAAGGGCTTGTAAGTAAGCATGTGACAAATAACATGTTATTTTATTTGATCTTGCACTGACCCTACACACACTCACTCTTGCTGGATGATGTCTTCCTGTTGCAACTTGAATTAAACCAGATTTATTTTATTGACTATCAATGACCATGAACCTGTTTTTCTGTAGCCTGAAACCCCGAAGCTGTTTTTCTGTAGCCTGAAACCCTGAACCTGTTTGGCTAACATTCCACTCTTTGTACTCTGTGTTTTGCATAAAAAGGAGTGGAAAGACTGGTGCCCAGGCTATTTGACTTTAGATTCGTTTATTGTTTGTCCCACTAGCATGTAGTTCAATAACTGTGGGTGGTTGATTCATAAAAATGAAGTAATTTGACTGATAAACAGCCAATATAATTGTTATCATGTTCATGCATTGGTATTTCCTGACATGAGTCATAGGATGGGATGGTATTTGAACCCATCGAATGACTCAGCTAGGCATGCCAGATATTCTCTGCCAAGAAAGTACTACGCTACATGTTATCTAAATATGCTTTCTACAGACGATAGACAGAGCATACAAAGCTATGTGTTTCTTTGGTAAACTGTTTATTCCTATTCCAGACTTTGCTCGAACTTTGAAAACAAAACATTTTCTCTGTAGGAAATAAGGGCCAGTTTGGCTGCGTGACTCACCATCCTCTCACCACCTTCACAGAAATCATAGGAGACAGTTGGAGCTGGGTGGCATCCACCACGTCTCTGAAGACTTCATAAGCCTGGCCACTAAACTGGTCACGCTCAAACAACACCATCTAAATCATAGGAACAGGGAAGCCATTTTGTCATTTCAAAACATCAAGAGAAGAAGAAGTAATGAGTAGCTCTGACGAAGGCAGAGACCATAAGCTTAATATACTAAAGTGATACTGGCAAGGCGTACTGTGTGGGTTTATATTTTCTTGAAGAAAGCATCAAGAGAAAAGGAAATGCTCAAACAACACCATGGAAACACCACGTGTCATTTCAAAACATCAAGAGAAAAATAAATGATATTGCTGCCTCGTTTTGAAACGTGTTATGTATATATTTTTGAAGAAGCAAACATCCATTATCCGACTACCAAAACGAACTGTAATTTAATCAACACATCAAGAAAAGGAAGTATATTAACTCTCCCTCTCGGAATCTGATGTCAATATTCCATCACATTGTATGACTCATCGGGTGACTCATCATGTGACTAAGTTGGTGGAGCTACCATGAGAGTTTATTTGGATGTTTCATTCCATTCACTTCTAATTTTCTTCTTCAAGTACAGTGCTATGAAAAATATTTGCCCCCTTTCTAATTTTCTCTACTTTTGCATATTTGTGATACTGAATGTTATCAGATCTTCAACCAAAACCTAATATTAGATAAAGGGAACATAAGTGAACAAATAACACAACAATTACATTTTTATTTCATTTATTTCATAAACAAAGTTATGCAACACCCAATTCCCCTGTGTGAAAAAGTAATTGCCCCCTTACACTCAATAACTGGTTGTGCCACCTTTAGCTGCAATGACTCCAACCAAATGCTTCCTGTAGTTCTTGATCAGTCTCTCACGTCGCTGTGGAGGAATTTTGGCCAACTCTTCCTTGCAGAACTGCTTTAACTCAGTAATGTGTGGGTTTTCAAGCATGAACTGCTAGTTTCAAGTCCTGCCACAACATCTCAATTGGGATTAGGTCAGGTCAGGCAGCAAAGCATCCCCAAACCATCACACCACCACCACCATGCTTGACCTTTGGTATGATGTTCTTACTGTGGAATGCAGTGTTTGGTTTTCGCCAGGCATAATGGGACCCATCTCGTCCAAAAAGTTGACTCAAGTTTGCCAAATAGCACCTGGATGATCATCAAGACTCTTGGAAGAACGTTCTATGGACAGATGATTCAAAAGTATAACTTTTTGGACGACATGGTTCCAGTAATGCCTGGCGAAAACCAAACTCTACATTCCACAGTAAGAACATCATACCAAAGGTCAAGCATGGTGGTGGTGGTGTGATGGTTTGGGGATGCTTTGCTGCCTCAGGACCTGGACGACTTGCCTTAATAGAAGGTACCATGAATTCTGCTCTGTATCAGAGAATTCTACAGGAGAATGTCAAACCATCCGTCTGTGAGCTGAAGCTGAAGCGCAGCTGGGTCATGCAGCAAGACAATGATCCAAAACACACAATCAAGTCTACATGAAAATTGCTAAAAAGCAACAAATTGGAAGTTTTGGAATGGCCTAGTCAAAGTCCAGACCTAATCCCAATTGAGATGTTGTGGCAGGACTTGAAACGAGCAGTTCATGCTTGAAAACCCACATGTCACTGAGTTAAAGCAGTTCTGCATGGACGTGAGAGACTGATCAACAACTACAGGAAGCATTTGGTTGGAGTCATTGCAGCTAAAGGTAAGGGGGCAATTCACACAGGGGAATTGGGTGTGAAATAAATGAAATAAAAATGTAATTGTTGTGTTATTTGTTCACTTATGTTCCCTTTATCTAATATTAGGTTTTGGTTGAAGATCTGATAACATTCAGTATCACAAATATGCAAAAGTAGAGAAAATTAGAAAGGGGGCAAATACTTTTTCATAGCACTGTATTATATGACCTCACTAAATCCCAAATGACACCCTATTCCCTTTATACTGCACCATAGGGCTCTGGTCAAAAGCAGTGCACTATATAGGGAATAGGGTGCCATTTGGGATGCTACCTTATTACTCTTGCATGCAGATATGCAGTTACTGAAACATCCAGCATAAAGAAAATAAGGTACATGGTTAACTGCCTGCCTTCCAACCCCACCCCCTGAGATTCCACAATACAATGCTTTACCACAGAGTTGAAATGGCTCTTGGCAGTACAGAATAGCTTGTTCTTAAACACATCCAGCTGTAAATCTGTATAGCTCCTTTCTCTCACAACCCCATTTTCCCTTGATGCAAAACCATATGAAACAGATGTCTTCAATAACACAATGGCAGGGTCCCAAATGGCAACCTATTCTGTATAGTCCTATGGGCCCTGGTCAAAAGTAGTGCACTACATGGGGAATAGGGTGCCATTTGGGACACAGCCAATAGTGTCTCTTTCCATCCAGTTTCAATGCCAATTCTTTCAATTCTATCTTTGTTTTTTGGAAATATCTGTTTGAAGCTGTGCCTACCTTTCCTGGGCGCCTATGGAATCCGTTCACAGCCTCTCTCTGCAACACCAAAACCACATGAACACTGCAATTATCATGACATTCTAGATGGTTATCTTCAGTGTCATAAAATCCATATTCCAGAGCTGCTTATCATTGTCTTAGTTAATGCTGTGTACTGTGTACTGTCCACACTTAGAAAAAAGGGTTCCAAAAGGGTTCTTCAGCTGTCCCCATAGTAGAACCCTTTTTGGTTCCAGGTAGAACCGTTTTTGGTTCCAGGTAGAACCTTTTGGGTTCCATGTAGAACCCACTGTACAAAGGGTTCTACATGGAACCCAAAAGGGTTCTACCTGGAACCCAAAAGGGTTCTACCTGGAACCAAAAATGATTATTCAAAGGGTTCTCCTATGGGGACAGCCGAATAACCTTTTAAGATTCAAGATTGCAACTTTTTTTTCCTAAGACTGTACTGTGTACTTGTTTGTGGGTCAGGCCTTTCTGACGCATGGTTTGACTTTGGTTTGTTTTATTGACTATTATGAGACATGTTTAAGTCAATTAAACTGTTTTATAAATATAACATACATACGCACATACAGAAACACAGACCCCCCCCCCCCCCCCATCCCCTTCTCCCACACACACTTACATGGTCAGTACGAGGCCCTAGCGGGCCAGCCAGAGGGGCCTTGATCTCGAGTAGTGAGGATGGAGGAACCAGAGGAAGACTCTGAGGTCTTCCATCCACCACTAGGATTCCAGGCCTGATATTCAAGTCTCCTCCTCCACCTCCTCCATGTGGCTTCGTCCCTCCAATAACCTGTTATAACCAAACAATAACCATTAAATAAATACCCATCAGATAAGGATCAATGTGCGAGGCAGTTAGACAGGCTTCCCTCCCCTTACAAACCTACGGAAATACAAAAACTATTACTGAAATAGGATAACATGTTTAAACAAGGAACAGAGCATCTGCGTTCTATGAATTGTTCTTCTCATCAATGGGAAATGCATACATTATCATTATTTTGTCCAATAACTTTTCTTCTTGTTAGTGTGAGATTAACTTGTACTGTTGTACTGTACATCAACTACAGTACTCTGCTTGCATTTCACACCATTCAATCAAGATTGATCACTCACTCTATAGCTTTCGAACATCTCAATGGCAGTGTTTCCCAAAACATCTCCTCGGGTACCCCCAGCCATTCCACTTATTTGGTCTATGCCAGTACCCGCACATCTGAAAGGTCAACTAACTGTTAAACATTGGATTAGAGTATCAGGTGTGTTGGTACTGGAATAGACCAAATATGTGACATGGCTTGGGATTCTCAAAGAGAGGTTTGGGAAACACAGCGCATTGAGATGTTCAAAAGCGCTAGATTCAACATACGGTGTGGGATGCACGCGCTACTCAATAGAATTGAGAGTTGTAGAAAACTGACCTCTGAGTTGAGCGGTTCCTGCCCTGTGCTCATCTCTAGTTTCACAGCAGGCTCTCGCAGAGGAAGGTACTTCTCTAAATACTCCGGCAGCTTGATGTCGTTAAAGGAGGGGAGAGGAGGAAAGGAGGGGAACGGAGAAGCTGAGTCACTGACCACAGCAGCCTGGGCAGTGGGCCTGTTCCCCAGGTTAGGACTCTGGATGGTAGCATCCCCAGAGGAAGTGGGGGAAGGCTGGGGAACTGGTGGTGGAGGGCTGGGCTGTTGGGCCAATGCCTGGCTGAGCTCCCCAGAGAAAGTGGGGGTAGGCTGGGGTGGCTTAGTGACTGGTGAAGGGCTGGGCTGGAGGTGAGGGGCCTCGGTGGGCGACACCTCCCCACCCAGAGTGGAGTACGTCTGGGGTTGAACTCCGGGCCTCTTTCCCCGGGTGGAGGAGCTGATCAGGCTACTGAAGATACAGCTCCCCTCCAAGCGCGACATACGAGGTTTCACCACCTTCGCCTCCTCCTCTTTCTTCTCCCCCCCCTCGCCCTCTTCCTTCTTCTTCTCCACGCCCTCCTCCATGGTGGTCTTCTCCCTCTCCAAGAGGAGGCTGGAACGGCTGTCGAGGCTCTTAAGTAGGATGCTGCCCCTGTCCCGGTCTGTGATGCTGGCCCTGGCCGGCTTCAGCTCCCTTTTGACCTCGTTACTCTGGAGCTTAGCCAGAAGACTTGGGGTCGTCTCCATAGAAAACTCCCTCTTCCTCCTCAGGCCGAACTGGAACTCCTCAGGGTCAAATGTCTTCTCGAAGCGGTCCTCCCTGATGGCGGGCATTGCGAACGGTGGCTTGGGATGATGGTGGTGGTGGTGGTTCTTCCGCGGTGGCAACGAGAAAGGCACGCCAAGGCGTTTTATGTTCTCGATGAAGTCGTCGTCGTCCAGTTCTCCGGATGTGTCCAAGAGGTTGCTATCGCTGACCGACAAGCTGAGCTTGGGTTCAAGGGGGCGGAGGAGCTTCGGCTTGGGGAAGCGATGGTCCACGTCTAGCCAGCTGGAGGGGGTGTCGCGTTGGAGGGGTATGCCACTGCCACCGCCCCCCAGTAAGGGGAGCTTATTCAGGGATGGATGTTGGGGAGAGACTGGGCTCTGTTTGGTGGTTTCAGTAGAAGAGGGTATTTTCAGAGCTTTGCCTGGACTGGGGAGAAAGGTTGATTTCTCATTGGTCATCTCAGGTTGTGTTACCGGGCGGATCTCGTCATTCACAACCGTTGGAGGATTTGTTACCACAATTCCTTGAATGTCATCAGCTGTCCTTTCTAACACAGTAGTAGTACTACTACTAGTAGATGACTTTTGTTCAAGTGCATCCCCTTTTCCCTCTGCTAGCTTTTGATTGGGCAACATCACTGTCTTTTCTCTGTTCTCACTCTGTGATTGGCTTGTCAGAGCGTTCCCCTGCTTCACATCCTCTGACTTTTTCACCTCTGGGGCCATAGTCTTTACAGTGGAGTTCTCCTTTCCAACATCCAGCCCTGGTTCCATCACTGGGGCCAGAGTTTCTTTCTCTCCCTGACCCTTTTTCTGTCCTGGGGCTTTGGTCTCCGAAGGTTTTTGAGTAGTATCTACTACTGTAGGTTTTGAGGCCTTGCTTTCTGTTTTTACTGTGGTGTCCTTCTCTGCTACTTTCCCAACATCTAGCCCTGGCCCCTCACTGCTCTTCGGCTTTGACCCAGGGAGATGCCCCTTCACTGGGGCCAGAGGTTCTTTCTCCACCTGACACTTTGTCTGTCCTGGGGCTTTGGTCTCCAAAGGATTCTGAGTAGTATCTACCGCTGTAGGTTTTGAGGCCTTGCTTTCTGTGTCCTTCTCTGCTACTGGCACTGTAGTGCTAGGCATTGAGGGTGTGGGTTCTGGGGTAGGGCTCACTCCGTGTGTCGGTGTGTCGTGGCTAGGTTTATCTGTCTTTGCCTCAGATGACATTACAGACTGTGTCTGCTTTGAGGCCTTGGTTTGCTGCTTTTCTAATATAGGTTCCTGATGGTAAGATTTTGTTTTCTGCTCAGGCACATGTGTAGACGACCCTTCCTTAGGAGGGTCGGTTTCACATTTATCACTGTATTTTCCCTTCGCTGTCTCATCAATCTGAGTGACAACACCACCGGCAGTTTTATCTGACTGAGAAGACTGTGTAGGAGTCAGTGAGGCTGGAGGTTTAATAGGAGCTACATAGGGTGGGACAGTTGGATCTGTTTGTTTCAACACTGATTTGGATGTGTCTGGCTCTGTAATGAGCTTGGGGTTCTCTTTGCTCTTAGCCTTGCTAGCGGCTGTCTCCGGGGTGTCTTGTCTACTGCCTGAAGGCACATTCTTCTCTGGCTTTTTATCTGTATTTTTATTAGGCTGCTTTACCATTTCCACCACTTTCTTTTCAGGCTGCTTTGGTCTGTTGTCTACTTTATTGTGTGGGACAGGTGAGCCGTGCTCCACAGGAGAGGGGTCTTGAACAAGAGTCTGTTTTTTCTCAGGCAAATGTGAAGGCAGGGATGTTTTGCTGTTGTCCTTGGAAACATTTTGATTTGTCTTAACCGTAGAGGTCTCCCCAGAGATTGCCTCCTCTGCCTTCTCTCCCTTAGAACTCTGTGAGGGTAGAATGTCTACAGTTTTATCATTGGGCTCCTTTCTTACACTGATATGATCAGAGGTAGCCATTTTATTGTCTTTGTTGACGTTTGGAGGTGTGGGTGATTGCGTCTTTTCCTTTAACGGTTTGTTAGAATTTTGCTTTTCATCTGACAATGACTCTATCTGCTTGTCTGAGGGTGCTGGCTTTTTACTGACTGCTTGCTGGCTGGTTTCTCTAACTGACTCTTTTTTAACATCTGATGTTACGTCTACAGATTGTGGCGATGTAACTGTCTTAACGTCCTGCTCAGCAGCCATTTTCTTTGTGGTACCTGCCTCTTCCTGTTTGCTGATGACCACTACCTGCTCAGTGTTTGTCACTTCCTGTTTGATGTCACAGCTCAGGTTCAGGTGATTGGCTGACTCCGCTCCTTTGCTTTTCCGTCTCTTGGACTTGGAGTTTTGTCTGCTGTTGGCTTTGGGTTGTGGGCTGACCTCATTGGTTGAGTCCACATGAGGGGTCAGTTGGCTTGAGTCTGAGCCACTCCCCCCTTTAGCTGAAGTATTTAGGTCAATATTGGTAGGTCTCTTTGGTAGCTCCACTGTTTCAGTAGCCTCTTTGTCCTTTGTTTTGGAGTCTGTCTGATCTTCTTTAGGAACTGGTATGACGGCTACTGTGGTGGTATCTGGCTCCGCTGGTTTCAATGTTATCTCTGCCTTCAGGGTGGTCCGAGTAGGAGTCTTCTCCCCGCTGGCCAGTTTTCCCTGAATGTCCTGTTTTGTTGTCTTTGACACAGCAGAAGCGGGGGAAGCTGTAGAATTTTGGGGCATTCCTGCAATACTAGAGGACTTTTGGGGAACCATTGCTTTATCATCTATCTTCTGAGCCTCTGCAAAGTTCCACGCCCGCTCCCGTACCGTTTTTAATTTCTCCTGAACAGGGGGGGCCGAGTTGGACCTGGCATTGCCACGTTCCACCGATTTCGCCCGCTGATCTGGTAACCCGAGCTCTCTGTTTACATCTCTTTTTAGCTGCTCTGTGACTTTCCTGGTGGGAGAAACATCTGCGCTCCTGGGGTAAGTCTTACTGGGACTGGCAACCCCCATCGCTCTCCCCTCGAAAAGGCTAATCCTATCTGTGATCCGCCCAATAGGCTGAGGAGTCTTGGATTCCTCGTCCACTTTCTTTAGATCAGGTGGTCTGTGACCAATGAAAACAAAGAAGCATGTTTTCTGTCTCAGTTTGAAAAAAAAACATGATATTCAATTTATCTAGCTGTAAATACATTATATTTGTTGTGTTTTGAAAATACTTTATCAGCTAAGTGGAGATAGGGGTTGAAATGTCAACAAATGTAGGAAATATTTTCATGCACTACAGGTACAATAACATTATTTCACATTTTCACTATAAACAGATATATTTTTAAGTATTTAAATAACATATCTGAATCCTAAACCGCATAGTCAGGAAGTAGGTTATCCAACAATACAGCAATCTAGTAGTCAGGTAAACACCACTCACCTCTTTGTCACCTTTGGTTCCACCTTGCCCTTTCCCTTAGCTGTATCATTACCCTCCGTGACCTTTCCTGTAGCCATTCCTCCTTTCTTAACGCTCATGGCTACGAGTCCTCCATCTCCCTCCGGACTCAGTGGCTGCTCTGAGTTCACCATCACTTTCTTCGCAAAAAACTTCACCTCGCTGTGTGACACCTTCATGCTCCGGCGTTTGGACTCGGCGCTCTCCGTGCGCCTCTCCACCCGGCATGGGCTAGTGTCGTCAAGCACGTCTACATCCATGTCCCCTTCCCCGTCCACCACGGCCACCAGGGTGGCATGTACTGGTGCATCTAGGTCCTCCTGGGCTTCCTCTCTCTCCTTCCCTCTGCGTGTTTTTGTTGGAATGCCACTAAAGGTGGTTGACTCCTGTTTACCTGCCTCAGGTAAAATCACTGAGGCATGTTTGTCTTTAGAAGAGGAGGGGGTGGAGTTTCCAGGTTTAGGTGTGTTATATTCTGATGATGTAGGAGAGTTCTCGGCTCCAGGCTTGGGTTTGGTGGGCGTATTCTCCTGAGAACTGGCTCCTCCTCCGTCTCCGGAGGAGCTCTTCCTGGACCGCCTCCTGCCTGAGTTCTTACGGCCCATTGTGTCTGTGTCTCTGTCTGACTCCTCCTCACCAGAGAGCTCAGGGATGGTTTGTGAGCTTGTCTGTGTCTCTGTTTGCGACTTCAGTGACACTCCCACCAGGGCACTGTAACTGCTATGACCTTTGACCCCTATAGCTTTGAGACAAGTCCTTTTGCGCTCCTCGGTCCTCTCCTTTGTATTGGTGTTCTCTGATGACAAATCAACACTCTTGGATGATTTTGCTCTAGAAACCACCTGGATGCTTTTCTTCACCCTGGTGGTGGTGATGGCGTGGAGCACTTCCTGCTTTGTGTGGGTGTCCGTTCCGTTCTGGCTCAGGCTGAGACTCGTCTCCTCCAGGTACACATGCAGCCTCTTGCCTGCCTGGACTTCGGCTCGGGGCAGGGCATGTGTGTGTGTGTGAGCCTGGGTGTGTTCCTGTCGGTCAGAGTCCTCCCAGGCCACCCCCTCTTCAAGGGCAGATGAAAGCACACGTGTCAGATGGCTGGCATTCCTCTCCGGGGCAGGATTCCCCCTCGCTCCACTGCGCCTTCCCCCCTCCTCCTCCCTCTCCTCTCCCTGCGAGGCAATCCACCACTTTTCCTCCTCCCTAGGATCTCCTCCTTCTCCTCCTCCTCCCCACTCGCTGTGGCTGCTGGCTGCAGAGAGGGGGCTGTCTCTGTGGGTAGACGCTCTGGCGTCCGCCGCGTTCGCCTCCTCAAAATCCCTGGAGAGATGCCGCTGGGCAGGCTGGGAATTCTGTCCCTCTTTCTGCTGCCCTTCTTCTCCCCTCACAGGCTCCTCCTGGGCCCCCTCTCCTTCTGGCCTGGGGCTCTGGTCGTCCGTCGGGGACTGAGAGGCATCGTCAATGGGACTCCTGGGGCTCCCTCTTTCTTTCCAGGGGGAGAACCAGCTCCCGATCCGGCCCAAGACACCAGTACTGGGCTCCTCTGGGTTCTGTGACTGTAGTAGTAGAGGCAGACAGAGAACATTAGACAGGTCTTTTCAGTACCAGTACATACTCCCCGACTGCCAGTGCCAATACACATGCATACGCTGCACATGCATAAGCATAAGTGGTAACACTTTACTTAAAATCTGCAGGTATAATGCATTATAACTTGTTGTAAGCATGTATGAGCCTTTACAATGCCTTGTTATGAGGCTATGTTTTGTCCCTCTCTACTGTATGTAGGAGATTTTCAACTGACTCAAATAGGCTGTTATTTAGTCAGGATGATTATAATAGGATAAAAAGACAGGAAGAGGCTAATTTGTGCCTATAGTCTTAAAATGGATTAGAACATCATCATAATGCATTATACCTACAGGCTTTAAGTAAGTGTTTCTGCTTACAGTGTAGGTACCTACGGGCTTTAAGTAAGTGTTACAGCATACAGTGTAAGTTACGTACGTATGGCACAGTCAATATTGCAGATAGGCGAAAGGAAGGAAGGGTCAGAGAGAGTCCAAGGGTTATTTGCTTTGTCAATGTCAGGTTTTGTGCAGCTCTCAACATAATGAAAGCATGCAATAGTAGTACTAATAATACCTTTGTTATAGGAGCTCAACTCACCCAAGAGCCAAGTACCATATCATTCAGAGTCTTTATGCCGCTTGTGAACATGTTTTAGGCTTTAAAACATTTAAACCTATAGACCATAAAACAGAAATGTAATATATAATCATCCTAATAATACATCATATTTAGTTCTGTTGCAAATGAACATGCACCTATGCAAATAATTCATATTTAAGAGCATTTCCAAAAAGTAAAATAAATAGTAATAGTGTAACGTGGGGTCATTCTCACAGAAACCACTTTATGTCACCAATATTTTTCCCAACACTTTCCATTGCTGCCACTACTCTTTTCAACTACAATTTTTATTTGTTTCATCAAAAAAATTTAAGTCACTAACAAAACGATTCTGAGGTAAGTTGATCTAATATTTCGTCATTTAGAAAAAGTTATATATACAGTACCAGTCAAAAGTTTGGACACACCTACTCATTCCTGGGTTTTTCTTGATTTTTACTATTTTCTACATTGTAGAATAATAGTGAAGACATCAAAACTATGAAATAACACATATGGAATCATGTAGTAACCAGAAAAGTGTTAAACAAATCAAAATATATGTTATATTTGAGATTCTTCAAAGTAGCCACCCTTTGCCTTGATGACAGCTTTATACACTCTTGGCAGAATATGGCCCTATTTGGTAAAAGACCAAGTCCATATTATGCAGCTCAAATAAGCAAAGAGAAACGACAGTCCATCATTACTTTAAGACATGAAGGTCAGGTCAAAATAAAGAAAAACCCTTGAATGAGTAGGTGTCCAAACTTTTGACTGGTACTGTATATAGTCTAATCGTATTACATCTATAAACGTTTTATGTACATACCATTAAGCTTACTGCAAGCTCTACGCCGACGCAAGATTCGGAGTGTTGCAATTAAATTGGTATTCACAAAAGGGGCAGCTCCTTGTAATACGCTCTGGCATTCAACATACTTTTTTACTGACTGAACATTTTGACACTCTGTATCATTCCTTCTGCAGCCCTGGGGGCAGTGTCACTTGGTTCCTTGATCTGATCTATGGGCCATATATAGGCTATTCATCAAAGTAGCCTATTTTGCATTGATAAGTAAATATAATCTCAGCCACTGTTCAAACAGTAAACCAAACAACAAGAATCCACCCAAAAAGGTGTTTTGTTTAAAAGTAATAACTAGTGATTATAGGCTATTGTGAAATGGTAGAACCTGCTGTAGCCAACTAGCTAGCCATGTTCTTTTTTACTCTGTGACCAAAACATGATGACGTTTTTGCTGATATGGGAATGAATACACAAGCAGCATTTCAAACTGGGATAATTACATTGGCAAGTATAAGAATATTCGCTAAATTATAAATCTAATTATTTATCGTGGAAATGTGGGAAGCTAAAAAGGCTAGCTAACTAGCAAAGTTTTTAGCCAGGCTAAAGATAGCTGCTACTAGCAAGGGAAGACGACTCTTCCTTGTTTTCACAAAATGAAAAGACAAAAATAAAAAACTTTGCTATCGCCCCCCTGTGAATGGCCGTGGGACTGGCGAGGATATCATGTTACCAAAAGGTGTCCGCTAATCCAAAAATCCCACTCCACCTACGTGTATGCACGGAAGTAGATCAACGGAGTAACGCTTGTAGTAACCAGTAGGGAAGCCTTAATATAAATAATCCACTTTTTTAGAAAGACAAATTGCAATCAGTTTTGAATAAAGCAGTAAAATTGAAGGTGAGTGTGTTGGGGGCAACTGGTCCCCCCTCCAATGAGGCAACTGGCCCCCCGGCAATCAAATCAAATCAAATTGTATTTGTCACATGCGCCGAATGCAACCTTGCCGTGAAATGCTTACTTACAAGCCCTTAACCAACAATGTAGTTCAAGAAAGAGTTTTACTAAATAAACGAAAGTAAAATAAAATAACAATAACGAGGCTATATACAAGGGGTACCAGTACTGAGTGAATTTGCAGGGGTACAGGTTAGTCGAGGTAATTTGTACATGTGGGTAGGGGTAAAGTGACTATGCATAGATAATAAACAGCGAGTAGCAGCAGTGTAAAAACAAAGGGAGAGGGGAGTGTCAACGTAAATAGTCCGGGTGGCCATTTGATTAATTGTGCAGCAGTCTTATGACTTGGGGGTAGAAGCTGTTCAAGAGCCTTTTGGTCCTATGCTTGGCGCTCCGGTACCGCTTGCCGTGCGGTAGCAGAGAGAACAGACTATGACTTAGGTGACTGGAATCTTTGACAATTTTTTGGGCGAGCTTTTTTGACAATTTTTTGACACCGCCTAGAATAGTGATGTACTGGGCCGTACACACTACCCTCTGTTGCGCCTTACGGTCAGATGCCGAGCAGTTGCCATACCAGGCGGTGATGCAACCTGTCAGGATGCTCTCGATGGTGCAGCTGTATAACTTTTTGAGGATCTGGGGACCCATGCCAAATCTGGGGGAAAAGGTGTTGTCGTGCCCTCTTCACGACTGTATTGATGTGTTTGGACCATGATAGTTTGTTGGTGAAGTGGACACCAAGGAACTTGAAACTCTCGACCCGCTCCACTACAGCCCAGTCGATGTTAATGGGGGCCTGTTCGGCCCACCTTTTCCTGTAGTCCACAATCAGCTCCTTTGTCATACTCACATTGAGGGAGAGGTTGTTGTCCTGGCACCACACTGCCAGGTCTCTGACCTCCTCCCTATAGGCTGTCTCACTGCTGTCGGTGATCAGGCCTACCACTGTTGTATCATCAGGAAACTTAATTATGGTGTTGGAGTCGTGTTTGGCCACGCAGTCGTGGGTGAACAGGGAGTACAGGAGGGGACTAAGCACGCACCCCTGAGGGGCCCCCGTGTTGAGGATCAGCGTGGCAGATGTGTTGTTGCCTACCCTTACCACCTGCGGGCAGCCCGTCAGGAAGTCCAAGATCCAGTTGCAGAGGGAGGTGTTTAGTCCCAGGGTCCTTAGCTTAGTGATGAGCTTTGTGGGGACTATGGTGTTGAACGCTGAGCTGTAGTCAATGAACAGCATTCTCACATAGGTGTTCCTTTTGTCCAGGTGGGAAAGGGCAGTGTGGAGTGCGATTGAGATTGCATCATCTGTGGATCTGTTGGGGTGGTATGTGAATTGGAGTGGGTCTAGGGTTTCTGGGATGATGGTGTTGATGTGAGCCATGACCAGCCTTTCTTAGCACTTCATTGCTACCGACGTGAGTGCTATGGTGCGGTAATCATTTAGGCAGGCTACCTTTGCTTCCTTGGGCACAGGGACTATGGTGGTCTGCTTGAAACATGTAGATATTACAGACTCGGTCAGGGAGATGTTGAAAATGTCAGTGAAGACACCTGCCAGTTGGTCCGCGGCTTTGTGAATGTTGACCTGTTTAAAGTTCTTGCTCACATCGGCTACCGAAAGCGTGATCACACAGTCGTCCGGAACAGCTGGTGCTCTCATGCATGCTTCAGTGTTGCTTGCCTCGAAATGAGCATAAAAAGCATTTAGCTCGTCTGGTAGGCTTGCGTCACTGGGCAGCTCGCGGCTGGGTTTCCCTTTGTAGTCTGTAATAATTTTCAAGCCCTGCCACATCCGACGAGCATCAGAGCCGGTGTAGTAGGATTAAATCTTAATCCTGTATTGACACATTGCCTGTTTGATGGTTCGTCTGAGGGCATAGTGGGATTTCTCATAAGCGTCCGGATTAGTGTCCTGCTCCTTGAAAGCGGCAGCTCTAGCCTTTAGCTCAATGCGGATGTTGCCTGTAATCCATGATTTCTGGTTGGGATATGTACGTACGGTCACTGACGACGTCGTCGATGCACTTATTGATGAAGCCAGTGACTGAGGTGGTATACTCCTCAATGCCATTGGATGAATCCCGGAACATTTTCCAGTCTGTGCTAACAAAACAGTCCTGTAGCGTAGCATCCGCGTCATCTGACCATTTTTGTATTGAGCGAGTCACTGGTACTTCCTGCTTTAGTTTTTGCTTGTAAGCAGGAATCAGGAGGATAGAATTATGGTCAGATTTGCCAAATGGAGGGTGAGGGAGAGCTTTGTATGCGTCTCTGTGTGTGTAGTAAAGGTGGTCTAGAGTTTTTTTTTCCTCTGGTTGCACATGTGACATGCTGGTAGAAATTAGGTAAAACGGATATAAGTTTGCCTGCATTAAAGTCCCCGGCCACTAGGAGCGCAGCTTCTGGATGAGCATTTTCTTGTTTGCTTATGGCCTTATACAGCTTGTTGAGTGCCCCCCCCCCCCCCCCCCCCCCCACGTAGCTTCTCTGTCCTGCCGATGCACTGAAAACCCAGCCAGCTCTATGTTATCCACGTCGTCGTTCAGCCACGACTCTGTATGTATTACAGTTTTTAATGTCCCATTAGTTGGATAGTCTTAATCGTAGATCATCAATTTTATTTTCCAATGATTGCACATTGGCCAATAGATCGGATGGTAGTGGAGGTTTACTCACTCGCCTCCGAATTCTCAGAAGGCACTCCGACCTCCGCCCCCCTTTTCTCTGTCTTTTCTACAGGCAAATGACAGGTATTTGGGCATGGTCTTGAGAAAGCAGTATATCCTTCGCGTCGTACTCATTAAAGAAATCATCTTCATCCAGTTCGAGGTGAGTAATCGCTGTTCTGATGTCCAGAAGCTCTTTTCGTTCATAAGTGACGGTAGCAGCAAGATTATGTACAAAATAAGTTACGAAATAAGTTACAAACAATGCGAAAAAACTAACAAAATAGCACAGTTGGTTAGGAGCCCGTAAAACGGCAGCCATCCCCTCTGGCGCCATTCTCAATCCAATGCAAGTCTATGGTACCTAAATTAGCATTTAACAAATCATGTCCAAATCATGTCCAAATCTATAAGTAACTTCATTGAGTTACACAGTCATTTTTTTAATACTTTAGAATGATTTGGAGCTAAAAAGAAGAGAGAGGCCTTACGTCAATACCTCATCATAGTGAAGATATTAATAGTGAGATGTGCAATGCCATTTTGTTTCAATATTTTATTAATTGTATTAAAATAAGATACCTAGACTTAAGGTTTTAATTATTCC